TGATTCCCACCCACATGCTGTGCACACTCCGCAGACTTTTGAGTCGACTCCAAACTCAGCTGGTTCCCACCCATATGATGTGCACTCTCTGCATGCCTCGTCTCTCTCTCCCTCCCCATTCCCTCTTTTAACCCCACCCACACCCCCCCTCTTCCTCTACCCAACCCAGGGCCCACAAGATCCCTGTCAACATGATTCTAATGATTTGGCTCAGGAGCCTAAGAGGAGCCATTGCCTTTGCGCTCCCCTTCAACATGCCTTTGCCCTCTCCCCTGCCTCTCCCCTACGTTCCCACACCCATCCCAGAGCCAACAGGACTCCTACCACCATGCCTTCACCCTCTCGTTCCCTCTCTCCCATCCCCATCCCATCCCACCCCACTGCACCCCACTGCATCCCAGGGCACACAAGATCCCCGCCAACATGGTCCTCATGATGTGGCTCAGCGGGCTAAGGGGGGCGCCATTGCCTTTGCGCTCGCCCTCAACATGCTGCAGCGCAACCCTACCTCTCCCCTCCCCTCCCTCCCCTCTCCACTGCATCCCAGGGCACACAAGATCCCCGCCAACATGGTCCTAATGATGTGGCTCAGCGGGCTAAGGGGGGCACCATTGCCTTTGCGCTCGCCCTCAACATGCTGCAGCGCAACCCTACCTCTCCCCTCCCCTCCCTCCCCTCTCCACCGCATCCCAGGGCACACAAGATCCCCGCCAACATGGTCCTAATGATGTGGCTCAGCGGGCTAAGGGGGGCGCCATTGCCTTTGCGCTCGCCCTCAACATGCTGCAGCGCAACCCTACCTCTCCCCTCCCCTCCCTCCACTCTCCACCGCATCCCAGGGCACACAAGATCCCCGCCAACATGGTCCTCATGATGTGGCTCAGCGGGCTAAGAGGAGCTATCGCCTTCGCTCTCGCCCTCAACATGCCCCAGCGCAACCCTGCCATCGTCTCCACCACCCTCTTTGTCGTGGTGCTCACCACCATCGTCATGGGCGGCTCCACTTGTCCTCTTCTGCACGCCCTGCACCTCTCTGCCCCCTCGCACACCCCCACCCACGCACATGCCGCCCTGGCTGGTCTATCTCATGCAAGCACTCCCTCACACTCACCCCCGCCCGCACACTCGCACCCACACTCACACCCGCACTCACACCTACGCACACACAGTGAAGCAGCGACAGCAGAAGCAGAGGAGGAATCAGGAAACCAGTCGATACGCTCTATGCCCTCTCTAGACGTCCCCTTGATAGGCGGCCGCAGTCTCAACGACCTCCTATACATGCAGCGATCGCACTCACTCTCCATCGCCCCCCCCTCCGGCCTCCACAAGTGGTTCAAGTGGCTCGACCAGCATTACTTAAAGCCGCTGTTCGGCGGGCGGGCGTTTAGGGACCAGCACTTATCCGAGCAGCTAAGTGTCGACGAGGAGGAGGCTATGGAGGGGATTCCGTGTTTCGCTTACCGCGGGCTTGGATTCTCACTAAGTGTGCCAAGGAGCTGGGTGGAAGAGCTGCCATCCGCGTTTGAAGACCATGTGCTCGTGAAATTCAGCGACCCGGATGTGACTTTAGACGGCGATCCTGTAGCCGAGCTCGATGTGATCTGCTTCTCAGTCCGCCCGTCTGGAGTTTCTTCACTGACCGAATTCGGCGACCCGATGAATTTTCTGCTGACCGAGTGGGACAACATCTGCCCGGAACTAGCAGCAGGCGTCAGTGCGAGCAGCAAGGGTGGCGCCAGCAGCGGTAGCAGCAAGGGTGGTGCCATCAGTGGTGCCGGCGTTGGTGGCAGCAGCAGGAGCAGCAGCAAAGCTGGTGGTGCCAGCAGCACGACTAAGCCTCTGGTTCTGGCTGAAGGGGTAAAGAGATCAGTGTCCTTCACACTGCCGGAATCATCCGCTGCTGCTGCACCCTACCGTCCTCCTTCTGTCGCTCCCTCTTCTGCCACTACAGCTGCTGCTGCTGCTGCTGCTGCTGTTGCTGCTGTTACTGGTGCTGCGACCGCTCCTGCTCCTGCTACTGCCGCCACTGCTGCTGAAGGTGAAAACAGCAGCACCAGCGCCAACCCAGCGTTTTCTTCCATATATGGTAGCCCCAATTCACCAGTCACCCACCCATCATCGCACCAGTCTCCGCAACTGCAATCCCCCCGCCAACGCCTGGGGTCAGGAAGAGTGCACTTGTCATCTCCCACCCAGGAAAACGCCCCTTCTGGCACGAGTGGCCCGAGTGGCCCGGGTGTGGCAGTTGGGGCGAGTAGGTCAAGTGGCAGAGAGCAAGCTTCCCAGGCTGCCCTGCCATCCATGCCCAGCCTGGCTCGTGCACGCTCACAAACCTCCCAGGCTGCCCGGGCCGCCCCAGCCTTCGTCATCTGGGCAGAAGAAATAATATCAGTGGGCGGCACTTTTTTCAGGTATGAGCTGGTGGTGCATCCAGAGGACCTGGGGGACCACAGGGCAGACATCCAGCACCTGCTGCTGTGCGCGGGGGTGGCGAATGGCGCCGTGCATGTGTGCCGAGTGCGGGGGACAGAATCCTTCTTCTTCGATGGCCGGCCGCTGCTCAAACACATTCTGGACTCGTTTGCTCTCTCTTGACTAGAGGTGCAATGCAATATGGATTCTTGCTATACAATGTATGGTACAGTGCAGACAGGGTGCCTCCTAGTGCATTTATCCTGATTAATAATCTACTCGTCAACTGCTCCTCTCGCATGCGGCAAGAGGGGCACAAAAGTGGCAAGCAGTTCGTCTCGAATACCGCAGTTATACTTCACAAAAAGGCCTTCACAAACACATAACCTAAGCAGTGCGACGGTAAAGCCATATATGTACACAAATTAACACGTCCCTGTCCCATCTTGTTCAGGCACTTAGCACCGCTGCTGAGGGCATCTGCAGCACCTGACCTGACTGACTGCCTCCACAGAAGGTGGAAGCCAATCAGTGCACGGCACGTGGCTGCTGCACGCGCATCCTCTGCGCCCTGCACTCCATGGCAGGTGTCCAGCAGCGCGACACGGGCGCCGTCTGCTGCAGCAGTGAGACGAGGGGGGCAAGGGAGAGAAACGATGCAAGTAAAGGGAGGGGAGGAGGGCGGGGGGGGGTTTGGGGGGAGGGGGGGGTGAGGGGGAGAAGTATCGCATCCTCTTCGCCCGGCATTCCATGGCAGGCGTCCAGCAGCGCGACACGGGCGCCGTCTGTTGCAGCAGCGAGAAGACGCGGGGAAGGCAGACGGCAAAAGCCACATGCGGCAGATAGAAGACATCAGGCACGCAACGCAAACTGTGCTATTCAGTGTGCGCGAAACAACCCTGAACTAACGACAGAGGAACAAATCCTCACAATCTCGGTGGAGGACGGTTTCAAGTGGTTGTTCGCAGATTGAAGCGGTACAACGGCTATGTTCGTTATCTTCGGACGTACCACGTGGGAGTGAAGAGAGTGCGTCTTGGTGGGCGGATACTCGTCGCTCTTCGAAAGGGCCCTCATCAACGAGTCTGCAGATAGCAGTGTGGAAAAAGGAAAGAGGAAGATTAAGACCGACCAGGAGGCATCTTCGGACGGAAGGAAATGTGAGAGGTTGCAATAACGCAGGTGAGGCTGCTTCCCTGTTACCATGCGGGTTGTCGACGTCAAACCACGAAAACGAGAGAGTAGATTCGCAATCTAGCCTACAGTACCTTTGTCCACGTGTTGCATTCTCGCCTCCTTGGCGGCTTGCGCCTTGGCAATCGCCTCGCGCGCTTTCATCTTCCGCCGCTTCTGCGCGCACACCATCAGCTCCTCTAACACTTTCCCCATGAGCTCCCGCCGCTCCTGGATCTCCGCGGGGTGGTTGCGCAGCGTGCGCGCGCCGCTGCAGCAGCATCCGCGATATAAGGAGAGGTGGCACTCGCCGCAGACGTCCACGTAGAACGGCAGGCAGAGATGCACGTGGCCGGAATTCTCGTCCGCGTACACGACCCTGCTGGTCAGCACCTTGGGACACGAGCACAGCGCCATGGCGTGCGCTGACGGCGCTTCGGTTCAAGAAAGGTAACAACTGGAATTTGAATATGTTACGAGAGAAGTTCTAACTTACGCTCGCTTTCCCGAATAATGGCAGAGCTTTTCTACAACGCAATTTTAGCCGAGAACCAAGAAGAATTTGGATTCGGTAAGCCAGGCACGCGAATGGGAGGTTTAATAAATGCTTTTCTAACAGAAGCAATTCCTTGATGGGCCGAGCACAGCCAAGAATATAACATCGAGGCTGGAGGGGCCGGAGGGCCGCACACAGCGCATTGCTGCTGCTGATGCATCAGAGCTTTCTGTGGGGCGAAATTGGGAGGAGTGCTGTGGGGTGGGAGGGAAACGGGAATTGCGGAATCCTACCTGGCTTCGGCAGATGACACGCCGAACGAGTGCCCATATGATCAAGGGCAGAGTGACTGCCCGGGCCTAGTTTGAGTTTTCTGTGGCAGGAAAATGGGGCCGAAGGGCAAATTTGCGCAGCTATACAGAATTCGAGATGTACAAGACAGGAATAGGGAGGCTGGATTTGATTGAGAACCGTTTGCTATTTGAAATTCCCCGATATTTCCTTTGGATGCTCTCTGTGCTGCTCTGTTGTCTGCCAGCACCGCATTTCATTGGCCAGCTGGCACGCTGGCTTGGCGAGATCGCATCGTTCTGGTCGCCAATGCGCTGGTACACGTCATTCAGATGTGGCGCTGAATGAAAGGAGCTCAGGCTGCGTTGGCAGGGAGTTCCCGGCACGTTCACATTACAATTAGATACAATGACAAGGTTTTTTTACGAATTTAAAACCCGCGGCCCAAATTGTTCAACCGCACTGCGTATGAACTTTGACCCTTGGGATGTACGAAATCCGCTGGAAAATCTCGAAGGCGTTTACTCCCTAAAATTCAACGCTTGTCGTGAACCGTCAGATTTACAAACACACAGTCTGACGGATGAGATTACTTTTAGACTGACTGGGGGAAGTGCTTGGCTTACGCGGTGTCAGATGAAAAATTGGAAAAACTGGACGGTTGAAAAACGCTAGGCGACTGGTGTTCCAAATTACCTACCTTACGCACTGAACTTGAAAGGCACCCCTGAGTGCAGAGAGTCTCGTTACCCCCCAATACACCCCCAAAAACGCAACTTTCAAACGCACTGCGTTTCAAGGCTGTGCCTTGCAATTCGGGCCAGGGGTTTTAACTAGGCAAACCATTCTAAATGCTTTGAGCATTCAACGCCAACACCCTGCCCTCAAGCATACTTCAATATCCCAAAGCAGGCTGTGCAGGCACATAAACACCGCTACTAGAGGAAGGTCAGTTCCATCTCTAATATCTATACCCAGGAGGCGGTGGGCCTCCTGGCCCATGGGGGGAACCAAATCTAGGGGGAGGCTGCCCATATCCAGGTGGGGGAGGCATTCCTGGAGGGCCACCAGGGGGGCCCATACCTGGGGGAGGGGGACCTCCCGGATACCCAGGAGGGGGAGGCATACCTGGGGGACCAGAGGGAGGTCCCCCTCCCATGTAAGGGGGAGGGGGCATTCCAGGGGGAGGGGGGCCTCCCCCCATGCCTGGTGGAGGGGGGCCAGCACCTGGGGGGAAAAGATGTGGGGGAGGGCGTCCAGGGGGGAGAGGGCCAGGGGGAGGCCCACCTGGGGGAGGCATCATTCCAGCATCAGGGGGAGGGGGACCTCCCATCAAAGGGGGGGGGGGACCCCGCCCAGGCATGGGGGGAGGGGCACCACGGGGAGGGCCATATGGGGGAGGGCCATATGGGTGAGGCCCACCAGGGGGAGGTCCGCCAGGTGGAGGGTAAAACGGGCCTGGAGGTGGACCACCGGGCCTGGGAGGTCCGTATGGAGGGCCGGCAGGCCCTGGACCTCCAGGTCCGTGAGGCGGACCACCAGGAGGTCCGGGGGGGTAAGGGCTGGGAGGAGGAGGGCCGCGGAAAGGGGGGCCCTGAGGGGACCCTGGGGGGGGGCCAGGAGGACCGTAAGGGCTGGGGGGGAAATTCCTGGGGGGAGGACCATGGGGAGGGGGACCAGGAGGGGGACCTCGATTGTAGGGAGGGGGGGTATGGGGGGGAGGGCCGTGGGGAGGGCCGGAATAGGGGGGAGGGGGACCATAGGGCGGGGGCCCATGGGGAGGGGGACCGTGGGGAGGCGGGCCTCTGGGAGGGGGGGCAGGAAAGGCTGCTGGGCGCCCCTGGTGGCCGAGAATGGGCGGCGCAGAGGAGGGAGGGGCGGCAGGGGAAGAGGAGGGGTAGAAGGGAGCAGGGGCAGTGGGGGTGGGGAGGACAGGAGGGGCAGTTGAGGGGGCAAGAGGGGCCGGGGGAGTGTAGGGGGAGGAGGAGAGGATGGGGGGAGATGAAGTGGTGAGGGGGGTGGTGGTGGCGCCAGGAGATAGGATACCCGCTGTGGTGGTGGCAGTGGTGGGAGGAGGGATGGGAGCGACTGTGGGGAGGTCGGGGCGAGTGTAGTCTCTGCTGCGGTCGTTGTTCGCCTGCAGGATGGAGATGGGCGAAGGGAGGGGATGACAGAGGGAAGACAGGAGTGAGTGAGTGAGTGGGAGGAAGATCGGAAGCTTGAGCTGGGAATGAGAGATGGAAAGACAAAGTTAAGGCTTATGACAGAGTGTGCACCTTGGCGTTAAAGCCTCACCTTGGCGTTAAAGCCTCACCTTGGCATTAAAGCCTCACCTTGGCGTTAAAGCCTCACCTAGGCGTAAAAGCCTCACCTAGGCGTTAAAGCCTCACCTTGACGTTGAGGTCGGTGTGGCGCGAGTATGAGATCCTCAGCTTGCAGTAGCCCCCCTCGTAGATGCAGTGCCCCTCCAGCGCGTCCTTGGCCGCTGTGGCTGCTGCCGCATCTGCACCGCGAGGGAGGGGAATGGGGGAGTGAGTGAGGGGATGGGTGAAACAGTGCACAGCACAGGCATGAAGGGGTGAGGGCACACGGGAATGCAGTAGCCGCCCTCCAAGATGCGGTGCCCCTCCGGCGCGTCCTTGGCCGCTGTGGCTGCTGTCGCATCTGCAGCACGTGGAATCATAGGATGAAGAGCATTGAGGGAGTGTTGGGTCACATCCACACATAACCCCTGCCTGCCTGCCATGCACATCAACTTAAAATCCACGAGGAACACGTCGGTACGTTCAAGTGGAACCAGGGCATAACAGCGTCCACTGGGCACCAACCTGGGAACTGGACCAGCGCCTGGAATCCAGCACTCTTCTCAAAGATGGCGATCTTCTGCACCGAGCCGTAGGCAGAGAATACCTGCAGGCGGCGCAGGAGGAGAGAGATGGAGCGAGGAGGGGGGGGGGGGGGGGGGGAGAGGGGAGGGGAAACACAGGACGGGAGAAGGGGGAGACGGAGCGAGAGAGAAGGGCGGGGGAGGGGGGAGGGAGGAGGGGAGAGAGCCAAAAGGGCAGTTGCATTGCACGTGGCCTGCAGACAGCATACAGCAAGTGTGCAGCATGGCGGAGGAACCAGCAGGCCCACTCAGGGGTGAATCACAACGGATGGAGCGTCGCGCCGTCAGAATTCCTCCAACGGATGAATCAAAGGAATCAAAGGAGGAAATTTTTGAGTCGACTAAAAAAATCACCAAAGGACGAAATGGAGCAGATTCAAGCAGCCAAGCAGCCACTCACAGTGTGCAGCACGTCGATGGTGACTGGATACTGCATGCTCTCGATTGATGCGAGCAGCACGCACAGTGTGTTAAGCATCAATTGCGCCAGGGCAGCTTGTAGGTGGTGCCACTCACCGTGTGCAGCACGTCGATGGTGACCGGGTACTGCATGTTCTCTATCGACGCCAGCAGCACGTTGCTGCCTGCCTCGCCCTTCACTGCTGCCACAGGCCCTGGGGTCAGCTGACGGGGAGAAAGCGGTTGGGAGGGGAAGGTGTGGAAAGGGGAGTGTGAGCAACAGGGTGGGCAGGAAGGGATGATGCAGGCGAAACGGCACACAGGCCCAAAAGAATGCGCTACCTGCTCCAGTCAGCACCTGCTCCAGTCAGTACCTGCACTGCACCAGTCAGTGCCTACCTGCAAGGCTGCATCGGTAGCGGAAGAGGAGACGGGAGGTAGGGTTCGGTGTAGTCATGGCTGCGGTGGAAATAGAACTTCCAGTCAATACCTGCACCAGTCAATCCCTGCACCAGCACATACCTGAACCGCAGCATCGGTGGCGGAGGAGGAGACGGGCAGGTAGGGGTTGGTGTAGTCGCGGCTGCGGTGGCTCTGGAACTTGACGTTGAGGTCCGTGTGTGCTGAGAAGGAGATGCGCAGACTGCACGCCTGCACGTGCTCTGGCAGCAGGTAGCTGGGAGGGGGGAAGAGTGGAGGTGCATGCACAGAGACAAAGGGACGCACAGAGACAAACGGACGCACAGAGGAAAACGTATCATCGTATACGTGGATTATCACTAGGGAATGCGCACCTGGGAATGCTCCTGACAGGGATCTCACCTGGGAATGCTCCTGACAGACATCTCACCTGGGAATGCTCCTGCCGTCCAGAGAAGTCTTGGCGCTGTTGGCAGTCTCGGGGTCAGCGTATTGCACCAACGCCTGTGCCGTGGAAACAAGGTGGGGGGAAAAGGGGGAAAGAGGGTGGAAGGAAGGAACTTCAGGACAGACATCGTGCTGTCCATGGGAATGCAGGGAGTGCAGGGAGGGAATAATCGGAGCAACAGAGTGGGAGGCGAGGGGGGACAAGGCAGTCAGACATGTCTTGGGGCTTGAACAAGGGCCCGATAGGAGTCTAGTTTTGAGGCGCCTCAAAACCAGACTCCTATCTCGTGGGGCTTGAACACGGCCACGGCGCTGGTTGACTCCGCCTCGAGACAGACTTAGACTGACCTGGAAGCCTGCGCTCTTCTCGAATGTCGCAATCTTCTGCACAAACCCAAACGCTGAGAACACCTGCGTGCATATCAGGTGAAAGAACAGAGAAACGCAGCAGAGAATGGGAAACTCCCACTCGAATAAAATGTGGGAGTATTGACCCAGCATGGAAATTGGCACACCATAACAGCAACGACTGTGAACCAACGACAGGAAAACAGCGTTGCTACTCCAGTAAATAAAACGTGTGTAATGAGTCGATTTTTCAACGTTGCTATTCCAAGAATCGAATCATTGCACACGGATAAGACAGCTACAAGAACGTCTAGACTGCGTCTGAAAGTGGCGAGATGCAACATTATAAGCACAACAAGTCAAGTAGTAAATGCTAGTAATCAGCGTATAACGTATGAAAAGCACAAAGCACGAGATTCTGAGACGCCTCAAAAGCATGAGACTGGTGGGCTAAGATCCACAGAGCACCCAAGAAGGCGCAGGTGCTGTGTCCCTGAAAATAAAAAGCACAGCAGCATCTGGGTAGGCTAGGGTTGGGTTGGGTTGGGTAGGTTTGGGTTGGGTTGGGTTCGGAAAGGGGGTTTTGAGGGAGGGGTTAGGGAGCTGAGTAGGGCGAGTCAGGAAAGGTTTCGAGGACAAACGGTGAAATCAGAACGGATCTTGAGCGGATTCGCATCGCTCATGCGAGGGAAGATCTGAGCCGTTCGCTTGAATCAGAGGAGGACAGGCCTGCACACGAAGTGAGGGATCTTGGTAATCATCAATCAATGCTCCATCAACACGAAACGAGCCTTGTGAGAGTTCGAGCAGGGTAGGCACGAAGGGGGGTAGGTGAGGTTGGCACGAAGACAGACAAGAGGGCACGATGATGCATCCACACCTAGCCTGAAGCGCACGCGCTCACGACCTTACCTCCACAAGCAGGCACGTACCAGGTGAAGCACGTCTATAGTCACGTCGCCAGCCTCAACCCCCTCTATAGTCACGAGCAGGACATTCCCCGTGGAGTCGCCCGTCTTGGTGGAGGTGGTGATCTCCTGCCGCGTGGAGTACTGCAGGTACACCGCCTTGCCGCGCACCTGAGCGGGCTCCGAGGACGACGCGTAGTAGGATACCATCGCAATTGCTTGGTTTAGATCAGCCTGCGGGGGGGGAAGAAGGTCAATGGGGGTAGCAGGGGGGGGGGAGAAGAAGGTCAATGCGAGTAGCAGGAAAACAAAGCAGTCGTGGTGTTTTGTTTTCCGGCCGCGCCAGACTACTGCAGGCACACCGCCTTGCCCCGGACCTGGGCCAGCTCTGACGTCGAGGCGTAGTATGCTACCCTGGCGATGGCTTGATTGGGATCCGCCTGAAAGAGACACGAAGCGGGATGTCAGCACGAAGCGGAATGGTATCAGAAAGAGGCGGAATGGCATCAGGAAGAGGCGGAATGGTATCAGGAAGAGGCGGAATGGCATCAGGAAGAGGCGGAATGGCATCAGGAAGAGGCGGAATGGCATCAGGAAGAGGCGGAATGGCATCAGGAAGAGGCGGAATGGCATCAGGAAGAGGCGGAATGGCATCAGGAAGAGGCGGAATGGCATCAGGAAGAGGCGGAATGGCATCAGGAAGAGGCGGAATGGCATCAGGAAGAGGCGGAATGGCATCAGGAAGAGGCGGAATGGCATCAGGAAGAGGCGGAATGGCATCAGGAAGAGGCGGAATGGCATCAGGAGAAATCAGAAAAGACCGGAATGTCATCAGGAAGGGGACAACGGTCCGCAGGGGGAGGTCGAGTGTTAACAACGAGAGCCAAGGACCTGTAGAGAAATACGACGAAAAAAAACTATTTTTGAGGCGCCTCAAAAGACTCGGTCCGCAGGAGGAGGAGGTCGAGTACTAACGTTGGATTCCAAGGATCTGTGAGAACTCTGAAAAATCTCTCACGAGGAGGTCGAGTACTAACAGCGGATGCCAAGGATCTGTAGCGAAATACGACGAAAATTTTACCGAAGTCCGCGGATATCAAAACGATTCGTTACACTGCGAACTCACGAACTCAACGAACGCCTGGTTGCGATTGGCGCCGACGTTGGTCTTGGTGTTGACGACGCGGCCGAACGGGTTACAAAGCTCCGCGAGTTCCTCCTCCGTCGCCTCCCACGGCAGGTTGCGCACGTGCAGCACCTTGGACGGCGGCTGCGAGTACCGGAACTGCGGCTGCCCCGCCGCCATCGCCGCTGCGCTCATCACGAGCGCGATGCGCGAGTGCTAGGTGTGCTGGCTCTAAGCTTCGACGACTCGTTCAGCTATCGGCTACCCGTTACTCATGAAATGCGGCGTGAAGGATGCTAATAATATGCGAAAGAAAATAGATCCTACGATTAGCCTTTGGTCGATTGCCCAGCAGATTGGCGACTGCCTAGGGCGAGCAGGGAATATGGAAGTCTGTCTACAAGTCTAGATTACGGTTCTGAGAACCAAGAATTAGGAGAAATAGGTTTCCAGTATCTGCTCAACAAAAAAGCCCTAGAGATTGTCCCATGGAGAACCAAAACTCTACTCTACATAAGGTTATTCTACTGGTAACAATTTCATCTCCCATGCAACATTTTATACTGGTATGAAAACAAAAAGAAACCAGCACTCGCAAATTTCCATTGTGCTGCTCTGCACCACACCGTCTCAGATAAATCCTTCCTCCCTCGCTTCTTGCTCCTCCACTGCTGCTCTGACGGCGACGCGACGAAGCGAGCAGGCAGCGTGCGTGCGTGCTCTATTATCAGAATCTCCATTTTCCGACCGTTCCTCCCAAACGAGCCTCCCTCGGACGAGCTTCTCGCCGCGTTCGGCTAACGGGAAAACAAGCTTTGCGCCGGACTTTCAGTTTTACTGTACTTATCGCAGCCTAACCGGCAGCCAAGCCATTGCCAAGCTATAGCCAAGCCATAGCGCCCAGTACCAGCCATCGTCTAGCTCTCGTTACCACCTGGCCCGATCGCTCCCATGGCATTCCGCCGCCTAACTTCCGCTCTCGGTTCTGCCACGCGGCACAGACCTCGGCCAATCACAGGCTGCCAGCACACCACAACCGCTATCATTTCCCCTCACACGATCTCCCCCGGCGCTGACGTGTCGCCGTCCGCAGGGAGCCCTCGGCACTACAATCTGGTCCCCATGGTGGTGGAGCAGACGCCACGTGGCGAGCGCGCATTCGACATCTTCTCGCGGCTGCTGAAAGAGCGCATCGTGTGCGTCAACGGCGCGATCGGCGACGACACGGCTTCCTTAGTAGTGGCCCAACTGCTGTACCTAGAATCGGAACACCCCGAGAAACCTGTAAGTGTGGAACAAGCACGTACTTCACTGTAGCGCATCTGGATCTCTCTCCCCCCCCCCCCCCCCCCCCACACACACATCTGCTCGCGGTTGCTGAAGGAGCGCATCGTGTGCTTTTGGGTCGACTCGAAAGCATCGTGTGCGTGAAGTGAACGGCATGATCGGCGACGACACGGAGTCCCTTGTGGTGGCTCAGCTGCTGTATGTAGAATCGGAACACTCGGAGAAACCTGTAAGCTCAGGGATTCACGAGACATTTACGAGACATCCGAGTGTACCTGAGAGTCCGTGTGTCGCTCAGAAGTTACCTGGTGGTGGCTCAGCTGCTGTACGTAGAATCCGTGTGTAATGAGTCGATTTTTGAGTCGACTCAAAAATCGACTCAGTTACCTGGTGGTGGCTCAGCTGCTGTACGTAGAATCCGTGTGTAATGAGTCGATTTTTGAGTCGACTCAAAAATCGACTCAGTTACCTGGTGGTGGCTCAGCTGCTGTACGTAGAATCCGTGTGTAATGAGTCGATTTTTGAGTCGACTCAAAAATCGACTCAGTTACCTGGTGGTGGCTCAGCTGCTGTACGTAGAATCCGTGTGTAATGAGTCGATTTTTGAGTCGACTCAAAAATCGACTCAGTTACCTGGTGGTGGCTCAGCTGCTGTACGTAGAATCCGTGTGTAATGAGTCGATTTTTGAGTCGACTCAAAAATCGACTCAGTTACCTGGTGGTGGCTCAGCTGCTGTACGTAGAATTGGAGCATCCCGAGAAACCCGTAAACTCGGTCTAAAAAGCCATGTCGTGCTGTACCTATATCCCTTCTGGACCATGCTTCGCCTCGCTTTAACCTCGTCTCTCTTGCCCCTTGCCTCTGCATAACCACCATGCAGGTGCATGCGCATTACAGCTCCGCTTGAGACTTCCTATAACGCGTTTACAACCCCTGCCACCATGCAGGTGTATGTGTACATAAACTCGCCGGGTGGTTTGGTCACAGCAGGCCTTGCCATCTACGACACCATGCAGGTGCGGAAGTGCTAGAATTGCATGGCTTGGCATGATCTCATGCCGTGTGGTGAGCATGTTTGCGTGACATGGCCCCTTAAAGCATGGCTGGTGCGAATGACCCGAATGTCATGCCATGCGATGCCATGCCATTCCACCATGTGCTCATGGGTCTGCATGCTACGTCTGAATCCTGCTCCCTTTGCCTCCCTTCCCCCCCCACCAGTACATCCAGTGTCCTGTGAGCACACTGTTCGTCGGCCAAGCGGCCTCCATGGCAACGCTGCAGCAGGGGAGGCGGGGCAGAGGCGGTCGCTCTATATGCTTCCCTTCCACCTTGCCCCATCATTCTCTCGCCCCTCCCCCCTCCCCCCCCCCCCCACACCAGTACATCCAGTGCCCTGTGAGCACTCTATGTGTCGGCCAAGCGGCCTCCATGGCAACGCTACTGCTGGCAGCAGGGGAGGCGGGGCAGAGGCGGTCGCTGCCCAACGCACGGCTCATGGTGCATCAGCCGTCAGGGGGGACGCAGGGGCAGGCCACGGATATTGCCATTCACGCGGAGGAGATCATCAAGACCAAGGGGAGGCTGAATGCGCTCTATGCCAAGCACACTGGGAAGGCTCTCAATGTGATTGGTGAGTAAGCTAACTGTTTGATGGCTGTGCCGTTAAATTTGCACGTGCTGTTTTGTCAAGTCAACCATGTCCATGCCAATTATGCCTCTCGCGTGTTTCCTACATCCTGTCTTCATTTCTCATTCCAGCGGAGAGCATGGAGAGGGACCGCTTCATGAGCCCCACAGAGGCACTTTCATTTGGCCTTATCGATGAGGTGATAGAAAAAAGACCTGCTGCCTTGGTGACAGATGCCAAGTGATATTGGAATTCATTAACACTCATTCAAATCTGTACTTCCTATAATCTGGCTGATGCAATGGAAGTAATGATTTTCCATGGAGATGCTAAGTGGGAGATCTAAGAAACAGTGTACGAGAATATGCTAGGCTGATGATATTTGTACCGGCGCCACAATATACCAGATCAGGGCCTCCATCAACAGAATGGCGGCTGCTCTTGATTTTTACCTGCGCTGGTTCTCAGGTTTCTTCTCATGCCGCACAACAGAGAAGACCCAGGGTGCTGCGACTTTATTCATGGCGAGCGAATGCCCAATTGTTTTTTCGTGATCGCATGCGATCGCACAGTTTCGTGAGGCAGTTCGCTTTCCGATGGTCGACGTGATTTCGCCAAACACGCCCGCTGCCTCTTCGCAACGCACGGCTTCGCGACCGTCAACTTGACCAATAAACGCTCAACAAGCGTAGCGAATCCAACAACCAGAGAGGGTGCCACGTCTGCGGAAGTGACACGAGCTGGAGCCCCCTACCAGCCCTACTTTCCGCGACTCGCCTGGTTTCGCGCTTCGACGTCGTGCATACATATCTCGTCAATCGTTACAATACCAGGGCTTGCTTGCCTCTGATCTGGTCCCCTGTCGCAGATCCCCAGGTCTGGGGCTTCCCCTGTTTAACCTTCCTAAATCCCTTTGCATCTCATGTCAACCAACCTAACCCAACCAATCCGATACAGCAGTGCGACTTTTTGGCAAACCCTGGGAAGGCGGGAGCTAATATCGAAGGGAGAAGGGCACAAGATGCGACATTGCACGAGGCAGGTGCTACTACCCTCGCACTGCCGAAGATCGACAAGGTAACAAACTAGCCATAGTACAGCGCAAGCAGGCCGAATAGCAGTTTTTGCAGGCGATGTAGGATACTGACGAGCCCATTCAGGATCATTTATAGGATCTTCGGTCGGGCTGACTGTACCCGACGAGCGTCGTCCCATCTCGTGCTGGCAACTCTCAATCCAACTCGCGCGATCATTAGAAATCCTACAAATACCCGCGCGGTTCTCCCGCGAGTCCTTGACCAACTTAGTACTTGACTTGAAGTCAGAGAGGAGACGCTTCGCCATGCCGCGGCATTCCGCCTGCTGTCTGTCTCTATCAGCCCATTTAATGACGACGCTTTTGGTACCCCTGGTTCTAGCGCTCACGCGCGCGTCCCTGCGCGCCGATGCGGCGATACTGGACCTCGTGACGGCGGCGGGAGCGGGATCGCAGGGGTTCGGGTACACGGGGAAAGCCACGGCCACTTATTACGGCGGCGGGATTGACGGTACGCCGATCACACGACATGTTTGACATGAGTTCACTTTTGAGTCGAATCAAAAGTCATCTCGTTTGACATGAGCTCCCGTCATGATGAGACCCGCATTGTCATGCGACTGCCGTAGGCTGCAATCCGACATGCGCAAGTTATAGTGCATTGTGATATGTTAGGCGGCATTGAGGTTCCTTGTACCGTGGTTCTCTATGCGTATTGAGGTGCCTCATAACGGGGTTTTCCATTATGCATTGCGCTCTTCTCTGTCCCGCCGTGGCTTGTGCAGGCGGCAACTGCGGGTACGGCAATCTATTGGCGGCGGGGTACGGCCCCATCTTCGCGGCCGGCAGCGTAATGCTCTACAAGGACGGCCGCGGCTGTGGCAGCTGCTACAGGTGAGGCTCGCTACAGCCGTCTACGGCCCGCTACAGTGCGCTACAGCCTGCTGCATCCTGCTTTTTGAAACGTCTTGAAATCCATCTTCGCGGCGGGCAGTGTGATGCTCTACAAGGACATCCGCGGCTGCGGCTGCTACTGGTGAAATCGCGCTACAGCCCGCTACAGCCCGCTACAGATGACATTCCTGCTACAGATGAGGTCCCGCCACAGCCCATTATGTTCTGGGCTGAGACGGTATTGCGCATCACAATTCGATCAAGCGCCGCTTGGGACAGCCCGCACTGCAAGGGCGTGGGCGGCATTACGGATCAGCGCCCCGGGCGTGGGGCCCACGGGGACTGGGATGCTGCCGTAGTGTAAGGGTGATTTCACCCCCTTTCCCTCTCCTCTCCCCACCTCCCCCCGAAGACGGTGCGGTGTGCGGACAGCCCGTACTGCAAGAAGGGCGTGAGTGGCGTCACAGCGGCCATCACGGACCAGTGCCCCGCGAGGGGCTGAGGAGCTGATGCTGTGAGACAGATTCTGTGGAACCAAATATTCCTCTCTCCCTTCCCCTCCCCCCCCCACACCTCCCCCCTCCCCCCTCCCCCCTCCCCCCTCCCTTAACCCCCTCCCCCACCTCTCCCCCTCCCCCCCCGAACAGGGTGCGGTGTGTGGACAGCCCGTACTGCAAGAAGGGCGTGAGTGGCGTCACGGTGGCCATCACGGACCAGTGTCCTGCGGGGGGCGGGTGGTGCTGCCCCACGTGCGTGCACTTCGACCTGGGCATGGCCGCCTTCAATATGATCGCAGAGCAAGTCGCTGGGCACGTGCCGCTGGTGTACACCAGGTAATAGCTCAGCCCAGCCCTGTTAACAACTCGAGTAGATGGAGATTACTAGGCAGTTATAGAATCTGCTGCAAGCACCTGCTGCCCCACGTGGGTGCACTTCAGCCCGGCCATGGCCGCCTTCAAGCTCATTGTGGAGCAAGTTGTGGGACACTTGCTGCTCGTGTGCATCAGGTAACCACTTGCCACTCGTGTGCATCAGGTAACCACTTGCCGCTCGTGTGCATCAGGTAACCACTTGCCACTCGTGTGCATCAGGTAACCAATTGCCGCTCATGTATACCGGGTAACCACTTGCCGCTCGCGCACACCAGGTAACCACGTGCTGCTCGTGTATACTGGGTAACCACTTGCAGCTCGTGTACATCAGGTAACCACTTGCCGGTCGTGTATACCGGGTAACCACTTGCCGGTCGTGCACACCAGGTAACCACTTGCCGGTCGTGTATGCCGGGTAACCACTTGCCGGTCGTGTAGACCGGGTGTAGACCCGTGTTCCCTCCTCGTCTTTCCCTGACCATCCCTCCCCGCATCCCCCCATCCTCATATGTGCTAGCAGCTTTCGTCCTGTCTTTACCTTCCCCAGTTTAATATCTTCACCATCTTGTATATCCGTATACACAATATCCGCCTCAAGCCCTTTCGGGTTTTAAAATGCATGCACTGTCCCCTCACATGTGCCACCCTGTGACCCCCCATTACACGCCACTACCTATGCAGGGTGCCTTGTTTGTTCAACCGCAACATCCGCCTCACGCCCACCGGCTCCGACTACTGGATCAACCTGCTTGTGCGCAACGTGGCGGGCCCCGGTGACCTGGCATCCATTGACGTGGCGGAAGCAGGATCCGCCATGTGGAAGCCCATGACGCACGACTGGGGCGCCGTGTGGGTGTACCGGACCTACCTCAAGTCCCCGCTTAGGTTCCGACTTACCTCTTTAATGGATGGGCAAGTGGTGGAGACCCCAGCGGCGTGCCTCCCTGCAGGATGGGTGGCAGGAAAGGACTACGACTGCCAGGTGCAGTTCTCATCTGGGGGAGGTGGGGGCGGCTGGAACAATACAGGTGGCAACAATGGGTTGACTGGCGGAGGGGGCAGTGAGGGGAACTCTGGAACGGCCAACCCACCCGGGGGATTCAAGCTCCCGCTTCCTCCTAAAACGGCTCCCGGCCCCCCGAGGAAGACCCCTCCCCCTGCAGGGAAGCCGAAGGATGGGACTAAGACGCCTAGCCCCCCGGGAACGAGTCCTCCCGCTGTTGGGAAGCCGCATAATGGCACTAGGACTCCCAGCCCCAAGGCTCCGAACTCCAAGGCACCCAGCCCCAAGACTCCTAACCCTAAGACTCCTAGCCCCAAGACTCCCAGCCCGAAAACTCCTAGCCCCAAGACTCCTAGCCCTAAAACTCCTAGCCCCCCGAAAAAGAGTCCTCTCCCTTCTGGGAAGCCAGTGAAGCCAAAGAATGGGACCAAGACAACAGGTCCCCCAAAGAAGAGCCCGCCCTCAACTGGGAAGCCGAAGAACGGAACCAAGACAACGAAGCCCCCAAAGGCGGGTTCACTGTTCCCAGGGAGCCCCAAGAATGGGACCCAGACACCCAGCCCCCCAAAGAAGGGGTCACCGTCCCCCAAGAAGCCAAAGGTTGTAGCGGCTACCCCCTCACCGACGAACCCTCTCTTTCCTGGGAACCCGACAGATGGGAGTGTGGGGAGTGGGGGAGTGGGTGCAGGAAAGGGAGGCGGTGGAGGGAGTGAGGTTCCATCAAGACCATCTACAGTGCCATCAAGGCAGGGCCAGCCTCAAAATAGACGGCTATAAGTAGGCTGTTCAGCAATTCATGAAGTACTAACATAGGGAAATAAGTTAGCATTGTAGTGATGTATTGTGTGAGGGAACATAAGATTATTATTATAGGTGTTTTGTGGGCTAGAAGGCCCTAAAATTATATGTTTACTCATCCAAAGAAATTGAAGTGTTGATTCCTCGTACTGTACAATCAGAGCCAGGGTGCGAGGGAGGTTGGTACGACAGCTCACAGGTTCCTGGAGATCCCGATGGTGCCGTCCCCCCCTCGTTTCCCAGCGACACGCCCCACTCTGGGGCTGCTAGGATCCAAACCAGAGACAATCCCAAGGCTTGGCTTGCCTGGCACCCCCCTCTCGTGCACTCCCCCCTTACAGTACCTCCCTCAAAAATCCCGTGATTCACTTGAGACACCCCCTGATTGCTCCGCCAGGGTAGCGCCTGAATCTAGTTCTTGAATCCGCTCGGCTAGGGTAGTGCCTGAATCCTCGGGAGCAAAGCTTGCGAATTCGCAGAGATCCGAATGCGCGAGAAGCCGTCGTGAGCGCGTCGAGTCCGCGGGTAGTCCCAGAACTTCCAGGCCGGAGGCAATCAAAGCGCCTGAGGAGGATAGCGGTTGTCTGAATGTACTCGCAGCCGCTGCGCATAAGATCGCCGCCTAACCGTCCGTCAGACCGCAAGCCGTCTTCATCATGGTTCGGTAGCCGGCCTATCGCCTCTGCCGGCTCCACCGGCGGGGCAGCAGCAGAGGGAGGAGGAGGAAGAGGAGCAGGAGGTGCAGGAGGAGCATCCCCACGCGACTCTGCTGCTGCAGGTGGTAACCCGAAATCGCCTCTTTCGCGCGGAGGTCGTTTATCCGCCGGTTCTAGACTACCCAGGAGTAAGATCAGCCTTAGCGACGATGAATGCTCCTCGTTTGAGTCACCCCCGGCAAGATCACCCTCGTCCCCGCGATCCCCGTCGTGCGGCGATTCGCGCGTAGCAGCAGCGACAGGTGCGGCGAAACTCCTGCCGCATATCCCGCCGCCGTCGCACGCGTGGACCAATCACCGCTTCGGATTCAGCTCCATAGGGCATACCGGCAGCGGCATCAGCAGCAGCAGCGCGAAGGGTGTGATCGCCAGGAGCCGCAAAGGCGGGGGATACGGGGGGGATTCAACAGGTAATGGGGGGGTTTCTCCAGGGCCCAGCAGCCCGTGGAGACGCGCGGGTGGTAGCGCCAGCGGTAGCGGCGGCGGCGGGAGCGTCGCTGCTCGTTTACAGAACATTCTCCTCGTTATAATCCTCTTCCTGTGTTCCAACTTCGCGGGGCACTACTACCCGTTCCTCTGGTCGCCCGCCGCGCGCGCGTCCCTGCTCGCCACGCGGCAGCGCCTCCCGGATATCCGCACGGGCCGAGGGGGGGACGAGTGGAACGCGGATGGGGGGAACGCGGATGGGGGGAACGCGGATGGAGGCATGAGCCTGAGCGACGAAGGCCGGCGAAGCATCATGGCGCTAGCAGCGGCGGACGGACTCCGGGAAAGCGGGTTTGAAACGAGGTGGGGAGATGGTGGCGTTGAGGGCCGGGAAGGGTCAGGCGAGGGGGTGGGAGAAACGGACGGGGTGGGCGGAGGGGTGCCGCGGCGGGCGTGGCAGTCTCGGTTCGTGCGCGATGTGAGGGTCGACGTGGGGGCAGAGCCGCTGTGCTCCGACATCGTGCCGGACGAATTCCGACAATCCACGGACCAAATGTGAGTGGAATGGGCACCAGTTGGTGGCAGGTTGGGTGGAACAGATGGCAGTCTCGGTTCGTGCGCGATGTGAGTGTCAACGTGGGGGCCGAGCCACTGTGCGCTGCCGTCGTGCCGGACGAAGTCCGGCAATCTACGGACCAAATGTGAGTCGGGCTTCCTCTCCCCATTCCAGCAGCCGTTCACTCACACGTGTTTTAAGGAGTGAATGCTTCTCGACGTGGAGGCCAAGCCACTGTGCGCTGCCGTCGTGCTTCGTGCCTGGCTTCTCGTCTAAACCAACCTCCTTCTCTCCTCCTCTCCCCCTCCCCATTCCTAGGCAGCCAGTCGCCTCTTTACTAGGCTTCCTGCGCCCCAACGAGCGCCTCCTCGCGTTCCTGCCGCGCCACGGCCTGGGGAACTCTTCGTTTCCCCACCGCCACGGCCACGGACGTGACTGCTTCCTTCTCCCTTCCTCCCTCCTTTCCCCATTCCCAGGCAGCCAGTCACCTCCCTTTTTTACTTCCTCCTCCCCAACGAGCGCTTCCTCGCCTTCCTCCCCCGCCACGGCCTCGGGAACTCCCTGCGCGGGTTCTCATATTACCCAACCTTCGTCTCTCCTTTTTTCCTTTCCCCATCCCAGGCAGCCAGTGACCTCCTTCCTGCGCCCCAACGAGCGCCTCCTTGCCTTCTGCCGCGCCACGGCCTCGAGAACTCCTTGGGGGGGTTCGTGCCTGGCTTCTTGTGTAAACCAACCTCCTCCTCTCCTCTCCCAAACCACCCATACCATGCAACCAGTGACCTCCCTTTTAGATTTTCTGCGCCCCAACGAGCGCTTCCTCGCGGTCCTGCCCTGCCACGGCCTTGGGAACTCCCTGGGGGGGTTCATTCCTGGCTTCTCATGTAACCTAACCTCCCAGGCAGCCGAGGCTCCATCTCCTCTCTCTCCCCACACCAGGCAGCCGGTCACGTCCCTATTAGACTTCCTGCGCCCCAACGAGCGCTTCCTCGCCTTCCTGCCTCGCCACGGCCTTGGGAACTCCCTGCGCGGGTTCGTCTCCGCGTTTGTGTACGCCAGCCTGGCGGGGCGGCGGCTGGTGCGGCTGCACGCGGGGCAGCACGCCAAGGTGTACGACCTCCTCTGCCAGGCGTATGCGTGCAGCTTTGACGCCGTGGGGCAGCCGGGAGGGGCGGATAGAGGGGAGGAGGAGGGGGAGGGGAGTGCGGGAGGGGATGGGGGTGGGGTGAGGGTGGGGATGGGGAGGGAGAGGAAGGGGAGGGGGATGGGGATGGGGACACGAGAGGCAGTGAAGGGAGGAGGGGCGTAGAAGGAGGGGGGGTCAGGGGGGGTAGAGGAGGGAATGGGGAGGGTGTGGAAGGGGAAGGGAGGGAAAGAGGGAGGGGGGCGCGGAGAGGGTTGAAGGGGGATGTGGGGACGGAGGGGTCGGTGGGGGTGGTGAGGAGTGCGAGCGAGGGGCGCAGCGGCACGGGCACGGAGCTGCTGCGCAAGTTTGCAATGCTGCGACCCGTCTACTTCCTGGAAAGATACTCCAGCTTCCAAAGTAAGGTGCATTTCAGGGAGGGGCGTTCCAAGTGAGGTGCATTTCAGGGAGGGGCGTTCCAAGTGAGGTGCATTTCAGGGAGGGCATTCCAAGTGAGGTGCATCCTGCATCCTGAGGGTATAACCTTGATGGTGCAAGCAACCAGTAGGGCGTGCATGCTAGTTTGCGATGCTGCGACCCGTCTACTTCCTGGAGCGATACTCCAGCTTTCAAAGTATGGCGCATTCAAGGGAGGGGCATTCGAGGGGGGGCATTCAGGGGGGGGGTGAATTCAGGGTGGGGTGCATGCAAGTTTGCGATGCTGCGGCCCATCTACTTCCTAGAGGATAATTAAGCTTTCAAGGTAAGGCGCCTTCTGGGGGAGGCTTATTGTTGGGAATGTGCACCCAACAGTGCACTCAGGGCCAGCCACAGCAGCATTACTGCAGTCAGACTGCCCTGTGTCCCTTGCTTTCTCTCACACCCTTCCCCCTACCCCCCATCCTTCATCATCCCTCCCCGCCTCCATCCTCCCAGCCATAGCGGCATCACTGCAGTCGGACTACCCCGTCCTCGCCACGCGCAGCGGCACTCTCTTCGACCTCTTCTGGCACCGCAGTGACCGCCTGCGCTCATGCGTCTTTGCAGCATTCCACTGCTCGTAAGCCACACTCTTGTGTGTCTATGACACCCCTTGCTCGCACCTATTCACTCTCTTCGACCTCTTCTGGCACCGCAGCGACTGCCTGCGCTCATGCGTCTTCGCAGCTTTCCACTGCTCGTGAGTCACCAGCTCATTTTTGTTTGTATGACTTTCCGTTGCCATGCTACCTCTCCTCTAGCTCCCACCCTAACCACTTTCTTCAACCTCCGTTGGTGCCACGGCAACCACCTGTGCTCATGTGTGTTTGCATCATTCCACTGGTCGTGAGTCACCAGCTCGTGTGTGTTTGTATGAGCAGAGGCATGAAACAAACGTGCCTGGCACCTGCAGGTGTGTTCATGCCTTTTCCTGCTAGGCTGCCTCTCCCTTCCACTTCTGCGTCGTGCATCCATTCCGAACCATCTCCCTTCTCCCTTCCACTTCTGCGTCGTGCATCCATTCCGAACCATCTCCCTTCTCCCTTCCACTTCTGCGTCATGCATCCATTCCGAACCATCTCCCTTCTCCCTTCCAGTTCTGCATCGTGCATCCATTCCGAACCATCTCCCTTCTCCCTTCCAGTTCTGCGTCGTGCATCCATTCCGAACCATCTCCCTTCTCCCTTCCAGTTCTGCGTCGTGCATCCATTCCGAACCATCTCCCTTCTCCCTTCCAGTTCTGCGTCGTGCATCCATTCCGAACTGATGAGCTTGAGAGTCAATTCGAGAAGTCCTTGTACCTCTCTATCTCCTCCCCTTCCCCCCTTCCAGCTCGCTGTGGTGCGTGCACTCCCGAGCCATGTTTGCCTTCTTGACTCGCAACGGCCCGACACCAGCCCTCTCCTCCTCAATCTCACCCCCCGTCCCAACCAACCCCGCCCCCTCTCCCCTTCCCCTCCTTCCAGCTCGGTGTGGTGCGTCCACTCCCGAGCCATGTTCTCCTTTCTCACTCGCAACGGCCCGACACCAGCCCTCGCCTCCACCATCTCTGCTGTTCTGCACCGCGTGCCGCACACAGGCAGTGACAGCAGCGATAGCAAAAATAGCAGCACCCAAGCGCCAGACAATACAGGCAGTAGCAGCAGCAGTAGCAGCAGTAGCAGCAGCACAGCAGACCCAGCAGCAGCCGCAGCGTCATCTCTTGAGAGTGAGGCAGTGCATGCGGGGCCAGAGATAGAGTTCGACGTGGGGTTCCACGTGCGCACGCGCACCCTGGCTGTTGAGAAGGTCATCAAGCAATCCGCGGACACGTACCAAGAGGCCGACTGTGAAGACCCTGACGATTCCCCTGATACCAGCAGCAGCAGCAGCAGCAGCAGCACCACCAGCACCAGCAGCACCAGCACCAGCAGCACCAGCAGCAGTGGTGGTGGTGGTGGTGGTGGTGGCGGCGGTGGTCGTGGCAATTCCACCTACCCCCGCCCTAAGTTCCTGCGCAACTGTTTCTGGGAGTGCATAGGGGGCATCCTCAGCACCCTGCGGTCCATGCGAGTTCCACTCACCAGCAAAGAGCCCGCCAACAGCAGACACCCATCCAGCAGCAGCAGCAGCAGCAGCAGCAGCAGGGAGGGCAGCAGGGAGGGCACCAGGGAATTCTCTATCTTTCTGGCCACGGATGATGAGGAGAATAGACCAGAGTTCGTATCCCGCCTGGCTCAGTACGGCACAGTGTACTTCTCCTCTGGAGCTATCTTTCACACTTCAAAGGCTGGGGGCAGCGGGGGCACTGAGGGGTTGGAGAGCAGCAGTTGGGTGACAGGGGCTGATAGCAGCAGCAACAGAAGCAGCAGCCGTAGAAGCAGCAGCAGCAGCAGTCTAAGCGTTAGCAGCACTAGTGGCGATATTCCTGGTAGTGTGGCCAGGCGGCTTCCCACCATGGCTGAGTTCTTTCTGCTGTCCAAAGCTCGGACCATCATTGAAGCTGGCAGCTACATCAGCACCTTTGCCTACTTTGCTGGGCTGCTGGGTAATGGGACGTTGTCAAGTGTAGATATGAAGGGCGGGCAGTGTAGACTACACCACGAACACGTGGCTCAAGGCATGTTTGGGTGATATGTACATTCTGTTTCTGTTGCTGATCCAGTGCTTCAATGATTTCCACTGGCTTGCACCCAGCCTCTCTCGCCGTCGTTCCATAGTGAACGCCCGCAGAAGTGCCCACAGAGGATACAACTTGCACCGGCCAGCCACATCACAACCACACCCTCTCCCCTGGGGAAAGTCTGCCAGGCATCCAACACAAGCTGATTCTTTTCGGGATGAATTAATTTCCAGAGTCACAACTCGCAACGTTTCAACCAATAAGGGTTCGTCTTGGGAGGCTCTGTCTAGACGCCCACTCCCCGATTGAGAGGTATAGCGTGGTGCGAATGTTCGGTCTTGAGGTATACTGTGGCACAGTGCGGTGCATCATGGAATCTGGGGATTGGGATGCGATTTATTGAGCGGACTGTACCTTAAATACAATCAGCAGGAGCACTCTAGCCACTGTAGTGTATTCTGTCACATGATGTAGAACACAAGGTCGCCGTGAGAAAGAGGTGTAGAGGGCAGCGGGTTGGTGTGCACGAAGGCCGTGGGAGATCCCAAGGTGCCGGCCGCGCGGTACAGCCCCAGCGCCAGCGCATGCGTGGACCACAGCATGTGGATGAAGAGCTCCCCGTACCCCCTCCCCTCAAACTCGTGGGGCACCTCGCACTGCCATAGCTGCCGCCTGTGCTTCGGGTGCGCACAGTGAGCGGATGCACCGGAAGCACCGGAAGCAGCAGCAGCAGCAGCAGAAGAAGCAGTAGGAGCAGCAGCAGCAGCAGGAGCAGCAGCAGCAGAAGATGGAGCAGCAGGTGCAGCGGTGAGAGGGGGAATGGGCGGGCTGCCTGAGAGCAGGAGGTGCAGGATGGTGGTGATGTTGCGATTGTAGAAGGTGGCCACGCTGGGAGGGATGGCAGGCAACAGGGGGAGTGGGGGAGGGGGGAGGGGTGGGAGGGGTGGGATGGGTGGGGAAATCATTGTTCCTGAGGCGCCTCAAGCAACAGCTGGGCTGCGAGAGAGCAGGAGGTGCAGGATGGCGGAGATGTTGCGATTGTAGAAGGTGGCCACGCTGGGAGGATGCAGATAACAGGGGGGTTGAAAGGGGTGCATTAGACAAGCATGGTATTTGAAAGTGGTCACGCTGGGAGGGTCAGCGGCAATAGGGGGATGGGGGAGGGGCGGGGAGGGCGGGAAAGGAGGGCTGCCAGAGAGAGGGGAATGGAGGTGAATGGAGGTGAATGGATGGTGAATGGATGGTGAATGGATGGTGAATGGATGGTGAATGGATGGTGAATGGATGGTGAATGGATGGTGAATGGATGGTGAATGGATGGTAAATGGATGGTGAATGGATGGTAAATGGATGGTGAATGGATGGTGAATGGATGGTGAATGGATGGTGAATGGATGGTGAATGGATGGTGAATGGATGGTGAATGGATGGTGAATGGATGGTGAATGGATGGTGAATGGATGGTGAATGGATGGTGAATGGATGGTGAATGGATGGTGTATGGAGATGTTGCGATTGTTCAAGGTGGCCAAGCAGGAGGGGAAGAGACAAGGGGGATGGGAGGGGGTGCGAGGGGTGGGGAAAGCATTATCCTCTAGCAACAGCTGGGGTGCTTGAGAGCAGGAGGTGCAGGATGGGAGAGATGTTGCAATTGTAGAAAGTGGCCACGCTGGGCGGTCAGAGGCAACAGAGCAGTGGAGAATGGGGAGAGGGGGAACAGTTATAGGAGCAACGAAGATAGCAGGCTCAGGGTCAGGGAGACTTTTGAGTCGACTCAAAGTGACTTTTGAGTCGACTCAAAGTGGAGAATGGGGAGAGGGGGAACTGTTATAGGAGCAACGAAGATAGCAGGCTCAGGGTCAGGGTCCCAAACAGTTTACTTTAACCAGAAGCAGGCTCAGGGTCAGGGTCCCAAACACTTCACACTAGTCAGAAGCAGACTCAGGGTCTCGAACATTTACTCACGACACAGCAGAGAGGGCAGCGCTGCAGAAGGCGCGGCCACTTTGAAACGCGGGGGCGAAGGTGTACACGCCTGCTCTGTTCCTCAGGTACGACCGCCTCTCGGCCCGGTGGGCCGGCAGCAGGTACAGCGGCTGGAAGTACTGAAATGACTGCTCACTCTGCAACTCCACAAGCAACCCCCCCCCGCTACCACCGCTCTCCCCATTCAACCCTAAACTCCCCATGCCCCCCACGCCCCCGACGCTCCCAGCGCTCCCCCCATTCCCCCCACCCTCCCCCATCCCTCCATCTGTGTCCTCTCCCCCTTGTAGCTGCTCCACATGTGCTGCTACTACCACACTTGCTAGGTCCGTGGGGGGGCCTGAGGAGGACGAGAGCGAGGACGAGGAGGAGGGTGACGTGGCGCCGGGCGATTGGTCGGGAGAGATGACGAGGACCTTAAGGGCGGAGAGCACGCCAGCTCGGATGAGATCGAGGTCGTGGGTGGGCGAGCCGCGGAGGAAAAAGACTTGAGGGAAGATGCCCACTGGGGCCCACTCGCGGTGGGTGGGGTGCTGAGGGGAAGGGGGGAAGGGGGAAGGGCGGTAAGGGGAGGGACGATGCCGAATGGGATGAGGTGGAGGTCGTGGGTGGGGAGCCACGGAGGAACAAAGCCCTGAGGGAAGATGCCCACTGGGGCCCACTCGCGGTGGGTGGGGTGGTGGTAGATGGACGGATGGGATGAGACGGAAGGGGGGGGAACAGGAGGGGGGGGGGAACAGGAGGGGGGGGGAACAGGAGGGGGGGGGGAACAGGAGGGGGGGGGGAACAGGAGGGGGGGGGAACAGGAGGGGGGGGAACAGGAGGGGGGGGAACAGGAGGGGGGGGGAACAGGAGGGGGGGGGAACAGGAGGGGGGGGGGAACAGGAGGGGGGGGGACAGGAGGGGGGGGGGGAACAGGAGGGGGGGGAACAGGAGGGGGGGGGAACAGGAGGGGGGGGGAACAGGAGGGGGGGGGGAACAGGAGGGGGGGGGAACAGGAGGGGGGGGAACAGGAGGGGGGGGGAACAGGAGGGGGGGGGGGAACAGGAGGGGGGGGGGAACAGGAGGGGGGGGGGAACAGGGGGGGGGAACAGGAGGGGGGGGGGAACAGGAGGGGGGGGGGAACAGGAAGGATGGGGAACGGGCTGAGACAGAGGATGGGCGATTAGGGGATCCTCGCATGACGAGCACGCACACGCACACATCAATCTGAAACGGTAGCAAGCATACACAGAGGTGCATTATCAGCACAGGTCGTGTTGGGAGCACTTTACCCCTGAGATGAGCCACGGGCCCGAACAGAATCGCCGGCCATGCCACCGCTTGTGATTTCAAATTGCTACATAGTCGTACAGATGCCGTATTAAGGACACAGACGTACATGGGGGTGCATGATCAACACGGGTCGTTGCGGCAGCGCCTTGCTCCTGAGATGCGCCACGAGGCAGAACAGATTCGTCGGCCACGCCACCATGCCCCCTCCCTCCCCCCCTCCCCCTCCCCCTCCTCCTCCCCGTCCCCCTCCCCATCACTCCCACCCCCACCGTCACCACCGCTGCTACTGGCAGCGAGGCACACCAGAATGTGGGGCGAGTCGAAGTCCGCCACGGGAACAGTGTGCGCGTCCAGATGGCGAGTATAGCATCCTCATTGCCGGTCTAACACCTCCACTGGCGGCCTCTCAATCTCCTCTTCTTCCTCCTCTTCCCTCTCCTCCTCCGCCTCACCCTCCCCCACTTTCTCCTGCTCCTCCTCCTCTGTTTCCCTTCGCTCTGCGCCATCCCTGACCCCCTCTTCCACTTCTTTCCGTTTCCTGCCCTGCTTCACCGGTGCGCCAGCCTTGGCAAGCAGCTGCAGAAAAGGCTTGTCTTGGGAGAACACACCGCCTTCCATGGTGCTACCAGCCGACTGTGCGGCTCCCTCAGCCTTTGGTATGGCGCCATCAACCCCTTTCAGGACAGAACCGCGCAGAGGAGAAGCAGGTTGAGGGCGGGTTCAGCCCCTGCCACTCCCCTTCTTGCCTCGCTTCCCTCCTCCACTATTTCCTCTTCTTCCAACCCCATCCCTCTCCTGTCTCTCTTGTCTCTCTCGCCCCCCTTCTCCAGCAATCCCTGACTTTCCAAGACCACGCCCTCCCCCTCCTCCATGCCACCCCCCTCTTCCTTCTCGAGCCCCTTAAACCGCACTACCTTCTTCTTGCGGCTGCTGCTGCTGGTGCCGCCAGGATCTCTTGTCTTCGTTAAAGGAGGAGTCGTTTGAGGCGGCATGCCTTGCTGCCCTCTTAGTGCTGCTGCTGCTGATGCTGCTGCAGGTGCGGATGCTCCTGCTGCTGCTGTTGGCGAGGATGCTGACGCTGACACGTGGTGGAGGTATCGGGAGAGCAGGGGCGTGGTGAGATGGCTGTCATCCATTAAAGCCACCCTCGCATCTGTTTCCAAACTCACTCTACCCGCCGCGGCAACAGCAGCAGCACCAACAGAGGCGAAATCAAATCCCCCAGCTGTGCCGTCCAGCGCCCCCCTCCGCACCCACTCGTCCTGCACCATCTGGAACAGCGACCATGCTTCCGAAGCGGCAGCGGGGGCGGCAGCAGGAGCGACGCGGCGCGCCGCGGGCCGAAGAGGAAGGAAGAGACGGCGCGGAAGAGCGGGTTGGAGGCGCGTGCCGCTGCGAGGGAGGATGCTGTTAGGGGGTGGCGGCGGGCCGTGGGGTGGAACAGCTGGTGCTGGGGATGGTGGGGGTGATCTGCTGCTGCTGAAGACCAGTCTCAGACTGCTGGTGGTGGTGATGGTGGAGGTGGTGGTGGTGGTGGTGGTGCTGCTGCTGCTGCTGCTGCTGCTGTTTCTGCTCCTCGCATACCTCCTGCCCATGCCTCTTCCCTCCCATCCCCCACCAATTCTGCTTGCCCCCGCCACTCCCCCCACCACCAACCCCCCCACTCTGCATGCAGCCTTTGAAGGCAGACACCCTCTCAGCAGCCTCAAGGCTGGGCGCGATCACAAGGCCCACGTCCAGAGATCTCCGAATGGTGTGCTGCGAGGGCAGCAGAAACACCCCCCGCTGGCACCCGCACTCCAGCCCCACCCCCCCTGCTCGCCTCGCTCCCTTCTTCCGCAGTCCAAGTCCCTCCCGGATCTGCTTCTCCATGCTTCTCTGCATGCCCCTGCCAGTGCTCCAAGTGCTGCCTCTGGCTGTACTGCTGCCTGCTGCCGGCTTCGAGTCTGCTCCGGATAGTCCTGGTCCTGCTGCTGCGGCAGCAGCGGAGGGGTTGAGGAGGAGGTAGAGCTCCTCATGGGGGCGGGAGAGGAGGCGGCGCAAGTGGGGGAGGGCGCTCGTGAGAGGCCGGGACAGCCGGCTGGCCTTCCTTCCCACATAGAAGTCCGGGGCTGCTGCTTCCGCTGCTGCTGCTGTTGCTGCCGGTGCTGCTGCTGCAGCTGCTGCTTCCGCTGGTGCTGTCGGTGCTGCCGGTGCTGCTGCTGCAGCTGCATCCGCCCCCGGCGTTGCGGTGGGTGTGGAACGCTGCTTCGGCCCTCTTGGCGGCTTTGGTGCAGAGGACTGGTGCTGCCTGTGCTGCTGCCGGTGCTGCCTGTGCTGCCTGTGCTGGCGGTGCCACCGGTGCTGCCGGTGCTGCCGATGCTGCCAATGCTGCCTGTGTTGCGTGTGCCTGCATTTCTGCTGTGAATGGTGAGCCATGAGCAGACTCAAACGTCTCACTCCCCTCACTTCCCGCTGCCAATGGTGAGCCCTCTTGAGCACACTCGAACACCTCACTCGCGTCACTTCTCCCAGCCAACGGTGAGCCCTCTCGAGCAGACTCAAACGACAAACACGCCTCAGCTGTTGCTGCCACCGATACTGACACTGCCGCAGGGCACCCATGCTCCTCCTCGTCTGCAACCTGCACGCACCGCTCGCACGTATGCTGCCCTACACTCCCTCCACTGTAAGACCGTGAGCCACCCCCCTCGCCCTCCCTCCCCCCCGTCCCCCCATGCCTCTCACACGGCTCTACCAGCACATCCAGAGCAAAGAGGCACACATGAAAGCACCTGTACACAAACTCAGCGACCTCTTCGAAGGGCAGCCCGTAGAAGGCGGCGGGCAGCAGCACGGGGTAGATGGAGTGCATGGCTCCGGAGTGGTACTCGGGCAGCCACGCCTTGTGGCCGGGGGAGTCGAGGAGGAGTGGGGAGCGCAGGAGGTTGGTGAGGAAGGTGGACAGGCCGGGCATGAAGCAGCTGGGTGAAGGGGCGGGGGGAAAGGAGTGGGAGAGAGGGGCGAAGTGGAGCAGAGAGGGAGGATGACTTGGTTGGCCTTTAGGTCATTGACTCAGCCGGTTGACATTGGCTCACCTTGCCTCAAGCCAAATGACTCGCGCTGTTTCAACAAGGCCAAGCCCGTTGACTTGTGTTGACTCACCAGCACCTTGAACTGCAGGCTCTCATGGCGCAGCACTTGCATGCGGTGCGTGGCAAAGTCCCACACAGGCAGAGTTTGCAGGCCAGGGGCACCCAAGAGGCGTTGACTCGCGTTGACGCACCCTGTCCTGACTCATGTTGACTCACTTTGTCCTGACTCGCGTTGACTCACCTTGACCCCAGCACTTTGAACCGCAGGCTCTCATGGCAAAGCACTTGCATGCGTTGGGTGGCAGAGTCCCACACAGGCAGCGTAGGGCCCTGAGGGTCTCCCATCTCCACCACCAGGCGTGACAGCGGCCCCGCGTAGCGGTTCATAGCAAGGGCCTGGGCGATCTGACCGTTGTCCAGCGCACGAGACTGCAAAGGTTGAGGGCGGAAGGGAAGGGAGGAAGGGACGAAGCAATACAGCGTGGGGCCCTGTGAGACTCTCATCTCCACCACCAGTTGTGACAGCGGCCCTGCGTAGCAGTTCATAGCAAGGGCCTGGGCAATCTGACCGTTGTCCAGCGCACGAGATTGGGCGAAAGGGGGAGGGAGAGGAATGCAGCGAGGCAAAAAACATAAAGGACTCCCCTCTCCACTTTTGGCGTGAGGACGAGACTCACCGACTGGAAGGCCTGCAGGAGGATAAAGACGTCGAATCAGTGCCGTCCAGAGCCAAGAAAGGCATGCAGAAGTGGAGGGCGTGCAGAGAGACTCACGGACTGAAAAGGCTGCAGGACGATGAAGACGGCGGAGGCGAGGGCGATCTGCACGCGGTGCAGGTCGTAGAGCGCCATGGGCGAGCCCTGGATGAACCGCACTGCACCGTGGTACTCTGCAATGAGCGAGCGCAGCTCAAAGCTGGTGGGGGAAACGAAGGGGGAGGGGGGCAAGACGAGGTGGGGGGAATAAGGGAGGCGGATGAGGGAGGTGCGTGCCATAGAGGGAGCCCTGGATGAACCGCACTGCACCGTGGTACTCTGCTATCAAAGAGTGCGGCTGAGGGCAGGGGAGGCCAGAGCGACAACGGCTGGGGGTGAGGGAGGAGCTGAGGGAATGAAGCCAGAAGTGAGCCCTGGATGAACCGCACTGCACCGTGGTACTCTGCAATGAGCGAGCGCAGCTCAAAGCTGGTGGGGGAAACGAAGGGGGAGGGGGGCAAGACGAGGTGGGGGGAATAAGGGAGGCGGATGAGGGAGGTGCGTGCCATAGAGGGAGCCCTGGATGAACCGCACTGCACCGTGGTACTCTGCTATCAAAGAGTGCGGCTGAGGGCAGGGGAGGCCAGAGCGACAAGGCCTGGGGGTGAGGGAGGAGCTGAGGGAATGAAGCCAGAAGTGAGCCCTGGATGAACCGCACTGCACCGTGGTACTCTGCTATCAAAGAGTGCGGCTGAGGGCAGGGGAGGCCAGAGCGACAAGGCCTGGGGGTGAGGGAGGATCTGAGGGAATGAAGCCAGAAGTGAGCCCTGGATGAACCGCACTGCACCGTGGTACTCTGCTGTCAAAGAGTGCGGCTGAGGGCAGGGGAGGCCAGAGCGACAAGGCCTGGGGGTGAGGGAGGAGCTGAGGGAATGAAGCCAGAAGTGAGCCCTGGGGGGGCGCGGGGAAAACCCACAGGGGGGGCACGGGGAAAACCCGCGGGGGGGGGCGTGGGGAAAAACCGGGGGGGGGGGGGGGGTGCGGGGAAAACCCGGGGGGGGGGGGGGGAGGCGCATGCAAAACCCGTGGGGGAACGCGGGGAAAACCCGCGGGGGGGCCGCGGGGAAAACCCGCGGGGGGGGGGGGGGGGGGGAAACCTGCGGGGGGCGCGGGGAAAACCCGCCGGGGGGCGCGGGGAAAACCCACGGGGGGGGCGAGGGGAAAACTCGTGGGGGTAGGCGTGGGGTAAAACCCATGGTGGGGGCGCAGGGAAAACCCGCGGGGGGCGCGGGGAAAAGCCAGTGGTATTCCCGAGGAAGGGTAGTGTCCCAGAGAGAGGGGGGTGCATGGGGTGCCTGGGGGTGCCTGGGGGTGCCTGGGGGTGCATGGGTGGCATGGGGTTGCCTGGGTGTGCGTGTGGGTGCGTGTGGATGCGTGTGGGTGCGTGTGGGTGCGTGTGGATGCGTGTGGGTGCGTGTGGGTGCGTGTGGGTACAAGGGGGTGGATGGGGTTGCATGGAGTGCATGGGGGTGCATGGGTTGCATGGGGGGAAGGTGTCTCGCGATGGGTGCAAGATAAAAAGACGCATGCAATGCTGGGGTGGTGATACAGACTGCATCCAATGAGATGATGGGGTAAGTGAGAGAAAGAGGTGGGAAGGGTGCACTCACCATGGTTGGAAGGGCGCAGAGAATGACGGTGTGGAGAGGGTAGGAGGTGAGATCTGATGGGCAGGGCAGGGGCGAACACAGGAGAGAGAGAGGTGATAGAGAGGGAAGGCGAGAATGAGTGGGTGGAGAGGGCAGGAGGTGAGATCTGATGGGCAGGGCAGGGGCGAGCACAGGAGAGAGAGAGGTGATAGTGAGGGAAGGCGAGAATGAGTGGGTGGAGAGGGCAGGAGGTGAGATCTGATGGGCAGGGCAGGGGCGAGCACAGGAGAGAGAGAGGTGATAGAGAGGGAAGGCGAGAATGAGTGGGTGGAGAGGGCAGGAGGTGAGATCTGATGGGCAGGGCAGGGGCGAGCACAGGAGAGAGAGAGGTGATAGAGAGGGAAGGCGAGAATGAGTGGGTGGAGAGGGCAGGAGGTGAGATCTGATGGGCAGGGCAGGGGCGAGCACAGGAGAGAGAGAGGTGATAGAGAGGGAAGGCGAGAATGAGTGGGTGGAGAGGGCAGGAGGTGAGATCTGATGGGCAGGGCAGGGGCGAGCACAGGAGAGAGAGAGGTGATAGAGAGGGAAGGCGAGAATGAGTGGGTGGAGAGGCAGGAGGTGAGATCTGATGGGCAGGGCAGGGCGAGCACAGGAGAGAGAGAGGTGATAGTGAGGAAGGCGAGAATGAGTGGGTGGAGAGGGCAGGAGGTGAGATCTGATGGGCAGGGCAGGGGCGAGCACAGGAGAGAGAGAGGTGATAGTGAGGGAAGGCGAGAATGAGTGGGTGGAGAGGGCAGGAGGTGAGATCTGATGGGCAGGGCAGGGCGAGCACAGGAGAGAGAGAGGTGATAGAGAGGGAAGGCGAGAATGAGTGGGTGGAGAGGCAGGAGGTGAGATCTGATGGGCAGGGCAGGGGCGAGCACAGGAGAGAGAGAGGTGATAGAGAGGGAAGGCGAGAATGAGTGGGGTGAGAGGGCAGGAGGTGAGATCTGATGGGCAGGGCAGGGCGAGCACAGGAGAGAGAGAGGTGATAGAGAGGGAAGGCGAGAATGAGTGGGTGGAGAGGGCAGGAGGTGAGATCTGATGGCAGGGCAGGGGCGAGCACAGGAGAGAGAGAGGTGATAGAGAGGGAAGGCGAGAATGAGTGGGTGGAGAGGGCAGGAGGTGAGATCTGATGGGCAGGGCAGGGCGAGCACAGGAGAGAGAGAGGTGATAGAGAGGGAAGGCGAGAATGAGTGGGTGGAGAGGGTAGGAGGTGAGATCTCATAGGGGGGCAGGGGCAAGGTGAACACAAGGGAGAAGTGTGCTTGTGAGGAGAGACGATCAGAACAGCATATGCTCTGCAGGAAAGGTGTTCATTCACAGGGTGCTACCTGCGCCGTGTAGCGGCCTTTGTCATGTAGCGGGTGGCTACCTTTGTCATGTAGCGGTAAGCTATCTTGTCACGTGGCGGGTGGCTACCTTTGTCATGTGGCAGGTAGCTATCTTAGTATTACAGTGGGCGGCTACCTTTGTCATGTAATGGTGGCTACCTTTGTTATGTAGCGGGCGGCTACCTATGTCGTGTAACTGGAGGCTACCTTTGTCATGTAACGGGTGGCAATCATTGTCATGTAGCGGGAGGCTACCTTTGTCATGTAACGGGTGGTAGAGCTCAGCGAGGAACTGCTGGATGGAGAGCAGAGAGAGCTGCCCCGTCAGCACCACAAAGCGCATGCCTGTGGCGGAAGCTGCTGAGAACCTTCCCCCATATGGCCTGAGGCAGGCAGGAGGTAAGAGGACGGCAGATGAAGGGCGGCAGATGAAGGAGGTTACTGGATGGCAAACGTTGCACTGCAAGGCCAATGCGGAACACCAAAAGTGCTTGGAAAGATTCCCCTATCTATCCTCATCCTATTCTTATTGGGAGACTTGCCTGTGTGCGAGCAGGTTGGAGATGTTGCTGAGCTGCACGGGCGTCGGCAGGATGACGAGTGCCGCCAGCCATATGATGCACATGTATGTGTGGGCTTGCAGGCACCTTACGGCGAGAGCTGCACCTGTGGGCTTGAGTGCAATTGAATCTTACCTGCGTGGTAGGGTTTCCTGTGAGGTAGGCTTGCCTGTGTGGTAGGCTTGCCTGTGAGCGAGGAGGTTGGAGACGTTGCTGAGGTGCACAGGCAGGATGATGAGCCCCGCCACTATGATGCAGCTGAGTGTTATCAAGGCTCATCTGCGCGCTTGGAGGCACCTTACAGCGGAGAACAGCTGTGGTTGTGGGCTTGAGTGCGATCAAGACTTGCCTGTGTGCGGGGAGGTTGGAGGCTTGCTTAAAGGCGAGGGTTACCTGTGAGCAAGCAGGTTGGAGATGTTGCTGAGCTGCACGGGCAGGATGATAAGAGCCGCCACTATGATGCATATCACCACCGCTCGCCCCGCTGCGTTGGTTGCCAAGATGTCGCCATAACCCACCGTTGATATCTGGTATTTGAAGGAGAGGGAGGGGTGGGGGGGGAGGAGGGGGATTTGGTAGCAAGCGCTGCCACTAGGATGCATACCACCACCACATGACTGGCCCGGCAGCGTTGAATGACGTAATGTCACCAAACCCCACCGTTGATAACTGGCGCAGGGGGAGACGTGGGGGGGAGAGGCATGAGAAGAAGAAAGGGGGTTCAAGGTTGAATGCCGTAATGTGGCCATACGCCACAGTTGATATCTGGCAGAGGAGCAGAGGTGGCGGTGGGGGAGGAGGGTAGGGTGAAAGAGGCAAGAGAAAGGGGTCGGAATGAGCGGCGTGAGAGGTGGCCATACCCGCCGTTGATATGTGGTGTTAGAGCGAGGGGCATGATGCCACCGCAAAGATGCCCATCACCACCTTCCTGCATCGCTGTGTCAAAAACGCAGTGACTTCATTCGGCAGACACTCTAGCAGCACTCTAACACCCACCATGACGACCACAAAGTAGAGCGACCTGGCGCAGTAGGCGAGGCAGTTGACGGGCTCACAGGGACAAGAGGCAGAGGCAGAGGCAGAGGCAGAGGCAGAGGCAGAGGCAGGTTGCAACAAGTCCTTGTGGCACCAGTCACCGTGGCAGGATCAGGATCTAACAAGACACCGTGGCAGCATGGAAAGCTTACTGTGGCGACCACCAAGTAGAGAGACATGGCGTATTTGGGGGGCAGTTCATGGCTCACAGCTGCTCTCTCTGCAGCATGTCCGTTTTAAGTCCTTGTAGCACTACTCAGTGCAAACAAGGCATTCTACCCCTCCTCACCGTGACGACAACGAAGTAGAGCGACATGGCTAGTCAGGGGGGAGTGGGCTCACAGCTGCTCTCCCTGCAACAAGTCCTTGTAAGTCCTTGTAGCACTGCTCAGTGCAAGCAAACAAACGTCCTCTCACCGTGACAACAACGAAGTAGAGCGACATGGCATAGTCGAGGCAGTTGACGGGCTCACAGCTCCCCGTCGCCTTCACCTCCTCATTCTGGTAGGTCACCCACAGGAAGATGCCCGCTGCCGTGAATACTGTGGCGGGAGGGGAGAGGGAGGGAGGCAAGAGCGCGGACAGAGGGAGACAGGAGTGAAGACAGATGGAGGAGAGATGTCATTGATGCCTTCGCCTCCGCATTCTGATAGGTCACCCACAGGAAGATGCCCGCTGCTGTGAATACTGTGGCGGGAGGGGAGAGGAGGCAAGAAATTGGACAAAAGGAGACAGGAGTGAAGACAGAGGGAGGGGAGATAGCACTGATGCCTCCACCTCGGCGTCCTGGTAGGTGACTCACCGGAAGATGGCTGCTGCTGTGAATACTGTGGCAGGAGGAGAGAGGAGGACAGAGAGGAATGCAGAGAGAGGGAAGGGACAACGAAGACTTCGCCCCTGGGTGCTGGTAGGTGACAGGAAGAAGGCCACTGCTGGGAATACTGTGGCGGGGAGGGCAGAGGGAAGTGAGACACGAGGGCGGACAAGGGAGACAGGAGCGACAGCAGAGGGGGGATAGCACTGACGCATGCACCTCTGGGTGCTGGTAGGTGATCTACAGGAAGATGCCTGCTGCTGCTGTGGATACTGTGGCGTGGGGGTACAGGGAAGAAGCGAATGCCGACAGAAGAGTAGAACACTGATGTCCTAGCCTTGAGGTCCTGGTTGTGCTTCGAGGTGCGTTTCAAGCATTTTAAAAGACTTGCTTAGTGACGTGAGGTGGACACTGAGGTTGACGACCACTTCTCGAGACACTTGCGTTGTGGAGTGAGGCGGATTACAAAACTTCTAAGTGAGTTACTTAATGAAGTGAGGTAGACGATGAGGTTGATGACCTCCTGCGTTATGGATGTGATGTCGACACCCAGCTGCTGCAGACGAGTGAAGGGCCTGGGAGTTAGGAAGAGAGAGGAAAGGGGGGAATAGGGAGGTGTTGAGAGGAGTGATGGACAGAGACGGAAGGAAGAGTGCGAGACACAAAGACGCCAAGGACTGGAACCTTCTCCAATGGCAGCATGAAGTGCAAACTCTCAATTTTTACGCCTTGAGACTCACTTGAGCATCTGCAAGAAGTAGACGACTTGAAACATGGCACCTGCACTCCTGCTGTTGAGGCTGCACGTGGGGGAGGTGCATAGCAGGGGACGCACAGAGTAGTAGTCGCACCTGTGTGAACAAGGCACTGAGCGAATGATAGCCGTGTGAACTGATTGCAGCGGGCAATGGCAGCAACGTGCACTCATGGCAGCAGCGTGCACTCATGGCAGCAGCGTGCACTCATGGCAGCAGCGTGCACTCATGGCAGCAGCATGTACTCATGGCAGCAGCATGTACTCATGGCAGCAGCGTGCGTGCACTCATGGCAGCAGCGTGCACTCATGGCAGCAGCGTGCACTCATGCAGCAGCATGTACTCATGGCAGCAGCATGTACTCATGGCAGCAGCGTGCACTCATGGCCGCAGCGTGCACTCATGGCCGCAGCGTGCACTCATGGCAGCAGCGTGCACTGATGGCAGCAGCGTGCACTCATGGCCGCAGCGTGCACTCATGGCAGCAGCGTGCACTGATGGCAGCAGCGTGCACTCATGGCCGCAGCGTGCACTCATGGCAGCAGCGTGCACTGATGGCAGCAGCGTGCACTCATGGCCGCAGCGTGCACTCATGGCAGCAGCGTGTGCACTGATGGGAGCAGCGTGCACTCATGGGAGCGGCATGCACTCATGGGAGCAGCGTGCACTCATGGGAGCGGCATGCACTCATGGGAGCGGCATGCACTCATGGGAGCAGCGTGCACTCATGGGAGCGGCATGCACTCATGGGAGCGGCATGCACTCATGGGAGCAGCGTGCACTCATGGGAGCGGCATGCACTCATGGGAGCGGCATGCACTCATGGGAGCAGCGTGCACTCATGGGAGCGGCATGCACTCATGGGAGCGGCATGCACTCATGGGAGCAGCGTGCACTCATGGGAGCGGCATGCACTCATGGGAGCGGCATGCACTCATGGGAGCGGCATGCACTCATGGGAGCGGCATGCACTCATGGGAGCGGCATGCACTCATGGGAGCGGCATGCACTCATGGGAGCGGCATGCACTCATGGGAGCGGCATGCACTCATGGGAGCGGCATGCACTCATGGGAGCGGCATGCACTCATGGGAGCAGCGTGCACTCATGGGAGCGGCATGCACTCATGGGAGCGGCATGCACTCATGGGAGCGGCATGCACTCATGGGAGCGGCATGCACTCATGGGAGCGGCATGCACTCATGGGAGCGGCATGCACTCATGGGAGCGGCATGCACTCATGGGTGCAGCAAGGAAGGATCTCAGAACATGAAACGCATGGCCATGGCCCACACATGTTGTGAAGCGCATGGCCCACACATGTTGTGAAGCGCATGGCCATGGCCCACACATGTTGTGAAGCGCATGGCCCACACATGTTGTGAAGCGCATGGCCCACACATGTTGTGAAGCGCATGGCCCACACATGTTGTGAAGCGCATGGCCCACACATGTCACATCAAGCATACCCACGTGTGAGGGGTTAAGACTCACCCAGTGCCGAAGATGGGAATGCCTGAGAGTATGTCCAACACTCCCAGGTACGAGCACACGTACAGCCACCTCACGGGCGCACTACAGCACGGGGGGGAGGGGAAGGAAGGGGAAGGAAGAAGGGGGAAGAGGTGGGGGGTGGGGGGGAGGAGTACATGAGAGGGGCGCCTCTTCTAGTACTCCTCCAGATATGAGCACATGTAGAGGCACCGCACAGGTGCACTGCACAGTGGAAGGAAGGGAGGGGGGGATGAGAGACGGTCGAGGGAGTATGGAGAGCGGGGTGAGCTCTGACGGGGGGGGACATAAGTCTGTATATGGCATGCATGTGACCATGTGTCGTGCGTTGCTTTGAAACTTGCCTGTAAATTCGGCGGAGGAAGGGGCTTGCCTGTAAGTGTGCGTTTTGAGTCATCCTGGAACTTGCCTGTAGAGGCGCAGCAGGAGGGGCTTGCCAGTAGAGGCGCAGCAGGAGGGAGCTTGCCTGTAGAGGCGCAGCAGGAGGGAGCTTGCCTGTAGAGGCGCAGCAGGAGGGAGCTTGCCTGTAGAGGCGCAGCAGGAAGACGAGGATGAAGAAGGTGGCGACTGCGAGACAGCCCGCGTTCCATACCATCTTCTGCTGCATCGTCTCCCTGACCCATGGGGGGCAGGTGGGGGGTGGGGGGTAGCACGCAAATCAGTGGACAGCATTGAGCTTTGATTCGGGAATACTAGAAATCAGCTGGGGCATTTAATGGAACAATTCACGTGTACAGAATCATGTGTTCTGTGGAAATGCTTATCGGATGTGTCCTCACCTCACAAACGTCTTTTTCCACAGAGAGGGAGTATAAGGCTGAAAGAAAGAGCTTGGGGAGAGTTTGGGAAGTTCAAGGGGCATATTAGAGCAGAGTGAGAGGAAAATGTAGAAGGAGCCCTAGCGGGTTCTGGGGAAGGGCTACAGGCGTCTGTGCTTGGGGGTTACAGGAGCGTTGCTCTGATCTATAAACATGCCCTTTTATCGCAGTGGTAAGCAGCTGTGTTTCTGCAGGGTGTTTTTGAGAATTCTCAAAAACACCCTGCAAAATCAAGTTACTCTGATCTATAAACATGCCCTTTTATCGCAGTGGTAAGCAGCTGTGTTTCATCGCTACTAAGCACGCTGCCCATACCTGGTCCCTATGAGGCAGTACACCGCACCATACCTGGTCCCTATGAGGCAGTACACCGCACCATACCTGGTCCCTATGAGGCAGTACACCGCACCATACCTGGTCCCTATGAGGCAGTACACCGCACCATACCTGGTCCCTATGAGGCAGTACACCGCACCATACCTGGTCCCTATGAGGCAGTACACCGCACCATACCTGGTCCCTATGAGGCAGTACACCGCACCATACCTGGTCCCTATGAGGCAGTACACCGCACCATACCTGGTCCCTATGAGGCAGTACACCGCACCATACCTGGTCCCTATGAGCAGTACACCGCACCATACCTGGTCCCTATGAGGCAGTACACCGCACCATACCTGGTCCCTATGAGGCAGTACACCGCACCATACCTGGTCCCTATGAGGCAGTACACCGCACCATACCTGGTCCCTATGAGGCAGTACACCGCACCATACCTGGTCCCTATGAGGCAGTACACCGCACCATACCTGGTCCCTATGAGGCAGTACACCGCACCATACCTGGTCCCTATGAGGCAGTACACCGCACCATACCTGGTCCCTATGAGGCAGTACACCGCACCATACCTGGTCCCTATGAGGTAGTACACCGCGCCCACACAGGAAGCAACAAACTCAGCCTGCAGAATGGGGCAGGAGCAGTGACGGGGAACAGTAAGACAGGGGAGTGCGGAGTGGCGATCGTATGGCATGCGGTGGCTTATGGTGGCATAAGATAATACGAGACGCCATCGGATGGATGGCATGGGGGTAGCGTGGGATGCAATGGAAACGGCACAATGGCGTGGCACGGCATGGCATGGCATGGCGGTGGCTTATGGTGGCATGGCATGGCATGGCGTGCGATTGTACGGGATGTCATGGCATCTATGGCACGGGTCCTGTACAAAAGGACGTAGGATGGCAGGGCGTGAAAGCTATTGGCGCCTTGTTGTCGTAGAGCATTCAGCAAGCACTCGTTACAGTCACAGCAGAAACAGCAAGGGACTCACAGCAGCGATGAGGATGCTGACGTGGCCCGAGGTGAACACGGCCCGCATGCGACTGGTGAGAGGCACCTCGCCGTACAGCAGAGAGGAGTGGTAGAGGGACAGGATGTCCTGTCGAGGGGTAAGGGGGGAAGGCGGGTTGGTCGAGGGGAAGTGGAGAGGCACCTCGCTGTAGAGCAGCGACGGGTGGTAGAGCGATAGGATGTCCTGTCGAGGGGTAAGGGGGGAAGGCGGGTTGGTCGAGGGGAAGTGGAGAGGCACCTCGCTGTAGAGCAGCGACGGGTGGTAGAGCGATAGGATGTCCTGTCGAGGGGTAAGGGGGGAAGGCGGGTTGGTCGAGGGGAAGTGGAGAGGCACCTCGCTGTAGAGCAGCGACGGGTGGTAGAGCGATAGGATGTCCTGTCGAGGGGTAAGGGGGGAAGGCGGGTTGGTCGAGGGGAAGTGGAGAGGCACCTCGCTGTAGAGCAGCGACGGGTGGTAGAGCGATAGGATGTCCTGTCGAGGGTAAGGGGGGAAGGCGGGTTGGTCGAGGGGAAGTGGAGAGGCACCTCGCTGTAGAGCAGCGACGGGTGGTAGAGCGATAGGATGTCCTGTCGAGGGGTAAGGGGGGAAGGCGGGTTGGTCGAGGGGAAGTGGAGAGGCACCTCGCTGTAGAGCAGCGACGGGTGGTAGAGCGATAGGATGTCCTGTCGAGGGGTAAGGGGGGAAGGCGGGTTGGTCGAGGGGAAGTGGAGAGGCACCTCACCGTAGGGCAGAGAAGACGATGAGGATGTCCTGATGAGAGATAGGAAGGGGGGGAAGGAGGGGGGGGTGGGGGAGAGGAGGGGAAGGGGGGGGGGGAGAAGAGGAGAATGGCACCTCGGAGAGGAGTGGTAGAGGGATAGGATAGGATGTTCCGATGGTTCAGCCATGAATCGGGAGGGTGAGGAATATTAAGGATGGATATTAAGCAGACAGAGGAATTGATGGGGTTGGGATATCAAGCCATTTCACGCACGTTGAGTTTAGACGTGTGATACTGTAATATAACGAAGAGAAACGGGTGCTGACATTCGCTTTACATTCACCTCACCTATACTCACAATCACCTCCTTATCGTCCACGTAGTCAAATTCCCGTACCATCCCTAAAGTCACACTCACCTCATCGGCGTGCACCGCCATATAATTCCTCGAGAGCAGCCGCTGCATCGCGTACGACGTTGATGACTCGCTAGCCTTTCTCCCCCTCCTCCGCCTCCTCTCCTCCTCGCGTTTCCCCATGTCCCGTTGTCTGCCAGAAAGTTTCTTTCGCCGCACCGCTCGGTGCTCCAAAACCGTCGCTTCTTTTCAAAAGACTTCCGTCGCAGCTTAGCATGACCGGACACACTTATGGCAATTCCTCCAGAATGCCGCTGTTCTACTCCACGCGCTTGAGCAACTCGCCGAAACCTTCTCAATCCTTATTCAGCCGCGAAGCTGCAACCTGATTACTGCCAATTGATTAGGTACGGAAAGCTTGGTGCTTGGTTGCTGCAGTGTCAGCTCGACTGATAAGCCATGTATGGAAAGCTAGGTGCTTGGTTGCTGGATTGTCATCACAGCACTGCTGATAAGAGTGGTGCTTGGGCTGCAGTCCGACTTCTTCTGACACCACTGATAATGCCGCCGAACTGACAGTTTGTCTGAACCAGTAAGAGCTGACTCCAATGCAGCAAAGCGCATACAAGATCACCCATCCCCTTCAAACACAAAACTATGCACCACCGTATAGATGTTTTCTAAACTATATTTCAGCCTTGTAATTTGAATGAAAATTTACCTAAACAAGCCTTTCCACGTTTTTTAAGGGCAATTATACACACCCTGAATAGATAAAAGAGATACATGAGCTTCAAAACCAATGCCGGACTCATAAATATATATGTACATATATATTGAACGCACATTTACCATAATCTCTTGCAAGAAAATCATCAAACTGACCAGACGGATGGTCGGTGCGGGATTGTCTTATAGCGGAGTCAATAACCCTTGGCTCAGTTCTGTGGTCCCCCGAGCTCGATTTCATGATAAGCACCTGAATATCGAGCCGCAGGTGATAATTCTGAACAGGCAGCTTCTTTTCACCTCGACGCCGCCACCTGCAGTTGCAAATGATGATGAGTCGCGACGCGTTACCCCATCACCCGAATCAGGGATTTCAGTCGCCGATCGCAACACGCATGCTAGAGCTCCGAATGCTCAAGGATTGACGAATTTCGCGACGCGTGACGCCTTCGCAAATCCCTCGTTACTGGATCTAGCGCATGCCCAGAACCTGAAAACATGTCTGGGCATGGTAGCAGAGCAGGGAACCCACCAACTTCACTTGGCGCCACAACAAACCTTGGGATCCACGATGATGCGACCAACTTGCCTGAGCGAAGTGCATGCATACCATTTTCAACTCAAACAATTAGTTTCGTCTCTTCTCTCCTCCAATCTCCTCTCCACCATTCCTTAGAAACAGATGCGAATGTCGTCATAGTCAGTCATGTCCTGACAGTCCCCGAGTATCGCATAGCGACTGCGATCAGGACACCCCAAACTCGCTCGCCATCAGTCGTGACTCGCTCTGTTGGGCATAGCCATCTGTCGCCCAAGTAGAGTCACGAAACAATCGCCGTACAGCCGAAGCATCCCGCTACTAAGTGCTCTACGTGCACTCACAAGCAGCCGAACACGTTATCCTCCACTTCCCACCCTTAGTCATTTTCCTCTCCGTACATCGTTCTGGTAGTAGCAGGGTCGAGGCGCAATGCGGTGGCTCGTGCTTCTCTGCGTAGTGAGTCTTTTCCTCGTAGCTCGACCGGCAGATGGGTTCGCTCCTCTTACCGAATATCGAGGCCTCTTTTGGCGGTTCCTGGACGCGATACAAGACGGGCAACAGTCCCGATACGGTGCAAGCATGTACAGTAGTGGAAATGGCGTCGACCCCGCTGCGTCATCCCCTTTTGGCATGAGAACCGTACGAGATAGCAATTCAACAGGTGCTTTAAGATCAGCTTTCGCCACAGCGACGAGCTATCTGAACGATCACCTGAGCAGACGGAAAACGCGTAAGTGTACTCCTCATTGCCTTGCCCTCTTTCCCCCACCCTCTCCGCCCCATCTCCTCTCATCGTCGCTCTCCTCATCTCCTTCCCCCACTCCCTCCCTCCGCCCCTCGTTCCCCTTCTTTCCCACGCTCCAGAGGACGATTCGTTCACTCCGGGGTTCTGTTCCGACTACGAGGGAGCAGTCTATATCAAGGTCCTTACTGTAGACGACATCGCCCGGCGCCTCAACTACCCGCGAACGCGCACCGTCATTCTCGAGGTCAACAAAAACCTCGTACTCGATAAAGGGCTCCTCTTTGACGGCCGATACTCGTGCACTGTACTCCGCTCCAACAACTTAACCGGATCGGGTTACAAAATCTCCTACTTCGGATCGGATCAGCCTGTATTGCGGATATGGAACACCAGCAATGTGCTTGTACTGGGACTGAGCTTCTCTCTAGGGGTCCGCACCTCGTCCCCTGAATGCGTCGGCATTCCCGAGAACGGCATCGGGGTAAATTGCCCTACAATTCACGTGTACAGGAGTTACGGAATTCAGATCGCCAAGGGGACTGTTTTCGGGCGCATCGACCTGTTTCGGAGCATGTCGTCGCGAGTCGACTCCATGCGCGTGACAGGCGTGCCCGTGTTCAACAAATCGCCGGGCGTGATCCGCGTCGCCATGAGCGGGCATGGGCCCACGCTGCAGAAGTCGTATATCGCGATCACCAATAACGAGGTCTACGGTGAGTCATGGGGCTGGGGCATGTCTACGGTGTGGTTGAGGAATGGAGAATGGAGGCGTGAATTCCAGTTAGGGCAACACTTGGCAATGGCATCCCACTGCATACATAACCACTCATGGCCATGGCTCTCAGCTGTCTTGTACTCCTCTCTTTCATCCCTGTCTTTTACTCCTGTCTTGTACGCCTGGTGTGTCAACCGGGTACCAGGCGTGGACACACCAATCGTGCTGTACCAGGGCGCCATCGGCGTGATAGTGCGCAACAACTACGTGCACGACTTCATCTTCGCCGGCATCCGCTGTGGCGCCGACGTGCACTACGCGGCGGACTGCGTGCTGAGCACCATCTCGTATAACATTGTGGTGGCGGCGGGGACCAACAGGTCCGGGGACCAGGACGCGGCGGGGATCTACTACTGCACGCACTGGTTCAGCCCAGGTGGGTAGGAACTGATGCTTTATTATTTCAAAACCCGGTGTGAAGAGCCTGCGTGCTCGGTAGATTCAGATGGTGCCTGCTGTTGCTATCCACGTGTAACAGTGTTGTCGCTTTGCCTCGGTATTCTCTCGCTTATTGTCTGTCCTGGTGCAGCGAATCTGGCGGAGTGCAACTATGTGTGCAGCGGCGACCACTATTGCTACCTGGACTGCCGCACCTCAGGTGCCACCCCGCCCTGCTCTGCTCTCTCACACCCACCCTGCACCCCCTTCCTTCCCCCCGGCGCCCCCTCTCCCCCTCCCCAGCGAATTATGCGGAGTGCAACTATGTGTTCAACGGCGACCACTGCTACTACCTGGACTACGTCACATCGGGCGTCACAGTGAACGGTGGGGCGTGTGTGGGCACGTACGATGGCATCAAGGTCAACAACGGCAAGTGGTGAGTGGTGCGAGGGGGGAGGGTGGGGAGGGGGGAGTGCATGGAGGGAAGGGTGTGCTGAGGAGTCAAGGCAGGACAAGGGGCGTCTGTGGGCACGCATGATGGCATCGAGGTCAACAACGGCAAGTGGTGAGTGGAGGTGGGGAGAGCAAGGGATGCACAGAGGGAGGGACGAACAGGCGAGGGGTGGAGAAGCCTGGGTGAGGGGCCTTGATCATAGTACCATCACGTCCAGTGCCAGCACGAATCAAACTTTCTTCCCACTGCTCATGCCTCAATCCATTCTCCTTCTCCCCTCTCCCCTCTCCCCTCTCCCCTCTCCCCTCTCCCCTCCCTGCCCTCCCTGCCCTCCCTGCCACCCCTCCCTTTCTCCTCCCCTCCCCTCCCAGGAACTCAGTGGACAACATAATCATCAAGGACGTCCCTGGCGTGCCGGGCTGGTGCACGTGCTTCACGCCCACCGTCAACCACTGCGGCAAGCGCCCGGGGACGTACTGGGAGGCCATGCGCAAGCGGTACTACGACACCCCGCTCTTCCGCCAGCAGTGGCCCTGGTGGGACAGCGTCTGCCAGGACCGCTCCATCCGCGGCAAGCTGTGTAATATCGGGCGGAGGGGGACATTGCAAGGGAAGCAGACTGGGTATTGTAGCGGGTTACCCACGGACAACTTTGTGCGGCTGATTGTAGCGAACGGCACGCGGGACATGGGGTACAAGTACTGCGAGGTGCTGCCGACGGTGGAGGAGGGGACGTTCAACAAGCACCAGCTCGTCAACCTCACGGATATCCCCTCTGCAGCGTTCTTCGATTACGCGCAAAACGACTTTGGAGTGTACAAGCGCTCGTCACTGTTTAAGACCCTCCCGAATTTCAAGAGCTGCCCTCGGTGGACCATCGGGCCAAGGAGGGTGGATGAGAACTTCTACCTGATGAACTACAATCACCCGGAGCCGCCGGCCTTTCAGCTGGTGGCTACCATGGCGACGACACACATCATCGACCGTGCGCTGCAGGCCAGTTTGAAATGACACCTCTGCTGTGCTGGCAGGGGGGGCCATCTAGTGGGCTATCTGGTTTGAAGCGACACCTGTTGATGGGGGGGGGAACGGAGTTAGGGTTCATCTGCTGGGTTGCTGAGTCCACTGGGTGGCTCATACGGCGACCACGTGCTTCCTCAAGCTTCAGGCCTCAAGCTCCAAGATTCTAACTTCGCAGCAAAAAGGAGTACGGGTAATAACACCAGCCTATACATGATGCTCCCTCTGAGCACACTGCTTTTCCGCTCAACGGGTGCCAATCTTATGGGCACCAACCAACTGCTCATCCACGTGATTCTCCTACACATTGTCGGTTGTGATATTTAAACTGTTGTACCATACATACAGTATGTGGCTTAATAAAGTGTACCCTACTTGTCCAAGCTGATGTCACCAGAGGCGACACGAGGTGCATCATGAATCATGAGGTCCTTGCAACAGTGCTTCATGTGGCTGAATCATGAGGTCCTTGCAACGGTGCTTCATGTTGCTGAATCATGAGGTCCTTGCAACAGTGCTTCATGTGGCTGAATCATGAGGTCCTTGCAACAGTGCTCCATGTGGCTGTTGGCTATCAAGCAAATCCCATGCCTCGTCCTAGTTTGCACCCAAATGATGCGAAACCGTAAGTAAACTACCGTACTAACATAACAATCAGATAAAAGAGCAAGTTTTGTTCGGCATCATATTCCATCCATCCCTTCCTGCCCCACCCATTGACATCGATGCTCTGCACTGCACCCATCGGTGTCACCCACGCACCACTGCACTACAGCAACAGTTTTGCCAACATTCATCACCACTGTCTCTTTCTGCTTGCTTACTCCCTGTTGCTGCTCCTTCTTCCACAACCACCGCTCCACGTTGTCACACTAACCAGCTCACCATAACCGCCCAAGTTTCACGCGCGCTGACCCAACCCAACCCGAACAGAGCCCAAGTTTCCCTCTCACCACGCCCACCCTTCTCCTCTCACCACGCCCACCCTTCTCCTCTCACCACACCCACCCTTCTCCTCAGGTGACTTTTGAGTCGACTCAAAAGTAACCCGAACAGCCCAAGTTTCCCTCTCACCACGCCCACCTTTCTCCTCTCAGCCCGGCCCATCACATCCACCACATCCACCACATCCACCACATCCACCACATCCACCACATCCACCACATCCACCACATCCACCACATCCACCACATCCACCACATCCACCACATCCACCACATCCACCACATCCACCACATCCCTCCCCTTCCCCTCACTCCCTTCACACATCCACCACCCTGTTCACCGCCCTCACACCCGACCAACCGGCCCAAAGAACCTCAGTTCCTCTCAGGCCTCCCATCACATCCACCAGATCTCTCCTCTACTCTGACACACAGCCCATACCGATAGCCTCTTCATCCTCTCACACCCGACCAGCCGACCCAAACAGTCGCAGTTTCTCCCTCACCACCCCCTCCATCCTCCTCTCAGCCTCCCCCATCACATCCACCAGATCCCTCCTCTCCCCTTCCCTCCCCTCCTCTCCTTCCCCCCCTGCGGCCTCCCTCAGCGCCTCCATATAAGCAGCCCTCACTTCCGTGTTAACATTAAACTTGCGCACGCCGCAGCGCACACACTCCAGCACGATGCGCGGCGGCAATCCCGAGGCTCCGTGGAGCACAAGATGGGCGCTGTGGCGAGATGTGACTGTGTTGAGACTCGCCAGGAGATCCAGATTGAGGATGGAGTCGGGAGTAGCAAGCACAGACGGTGGGTAGGGCCCATGTCGGTTGCCCACACAGACGGCCAGGAGCGACACCTGAGGGACACTCTGGAGGAAAGACTCGGCCTGGTGAAGGGGGGGAGGGGGGAGGAAGAGGAGAGGGGAAGGGAGGGAAAGAGGAGGGGATGAGGGATGCGGCACACACACGCACACACACACACACACTGCAAGGAGCACGTCGTGGGAGCTGTGCCACGCTGCAACGGTGGAGAGGCTGTGGAGGAGAGGCAGGTTGAGGATGGAGTCGGGAGCGGCGAGCGCAGAGGGCGGGTAGGGGCCGTGGCGGTTGCCCACACACACGGCCAGGAGAGACACTTGAGGGACACTGTGGAGGGAAAGAGGAAGGGAGAGGGGGTGATCAGGATGAAAGGGTGATGGGGATGATAGGGGGCGATAGGGGGTGATCGGGGCGATAGGGGTGATAGGGGGTGATAGGGGGTGATAACCGGGGTTATGAGGTGACGGGGAAGAGGGGTTGATGATATGGGTGATGGGGGGTGATGGGGGGTGATAGGGGGTGATGGGGGTTGATGGGGGGTGATAGGGGTAAAACATGCGGAATGTTGGCATTCACCTCGCCGTGTGCTCTCTGTGTTGCCCTCACCTGCTCCACTTGTGTGAGTCGGCCTGCAATCTCCTCCACCGTCTCCCCATCCTCCACGCCCGCTATTTGCCCCACCTCTGCCTCTATCACCACCACGCCCGCCCCCCTGCCCGCTGCTGCCGCTGCTGATGAAGCGTCTGCTGTTGCTGCTGCTGGTGCTTCTGGTGCTCGAGCTGTGAGGTGAGCAAGTGTGGTAGCGACGCGTTGAGTGAAGGCGATGTTGTCAGCGAGGGGCAGGTGGGAGCCGTCTGCCATGATGGAGTGGAACCAGCCCTGTGGATGTGGGGTATGGGGCATGGAGCATGAAGCATTGGCTTAGGGCATGGGTCATGGGCCATGGGGCATGGGGCATCGGGCATAGAGCATGGTGCATGGGGCATTGGGGCATGGTGCATGGGGCATGGGCATGGGGCATGGTGCGTGGGGCATGGTGCATGGAGCAAGGGGCATGGTGCATGGGGCATGGTGCATGGGGCATGGGGCATGGGGCATGGGGCATGGTGCATGGGGCATGGTGCATGGGGCATGGGGCATGGGGCATGGTGCATGGGGCATGGGGCATGGTGCATGGGGCATGCGGCATGGTGCATGGGGCATGGGGCATGGGGCATGGTGCACGGGGCAGGCAGCACAATGGTTCACACTTGTGCGTGCACACGCACACAGCAGTTGCACACTGCACCATGCATACGCACCTGGTGCACGCATTGCTCTATGAGCGTCACATCGGTGGCATGGTCGAGGTGCAGGGCGATGGGCACATGGGCAGGCGTGGCAGCAGCACATGGTGTACTTGCAAGCATACCTGGTGCACACACCGCTCAATGAGCGTCAGGTCCGTCGCATGGTCGAGGTGCAGGGCGATGGGCACATGGGCAGCCAGGGCAGCAGCGGTGCACGCAGCAATGAGAGCGTCGCCCCCGTGACGGATGGCGGAAGGGTGCAGCTGAGGGAGAGACGGAATAGGGGGAGAGAAACCGAAGAGAGAACGGGAGCATGTGGGAGCAAGGAGAAAAATGACAGGCGTTAGAGAGTTACAGGTGCGAGTCCTTGTTCATCCATCCAGATCACTTGGCGTTAGAGAGTTTACCTGGAGGATGGCTGGACTCCTCTCCTCCTCTGCTGCGCGCACCACCGCCCGCACCCCCTCCAGGTTGTACACGTTGAACGCCCCCACCGCATACCCTCCCTCCGCTGCTGCCCGCACCAGGTCCAGCGTGGAGAGGAGAGGGGTAGGCGTAGAGAGTGCACCCAGGGGTGCAGGTGCCGGGGCAGCTGGGGGCGGGGTGATGGGGTCGGTGCGCCATCGCTGCACGACGTCAGCAAGGGATGCTGATGAACCCACGTTGCCTGGAGGCCAGTAGGGAGCGAGGTGATCACAGGGAGATCGGGGATGGGTGGGAAGGAATGCGCATGCGGAAAGGGTGATAGAGACGAGCGATGGGAGCTAAGTGACGGAGAGCATCAGCTCCTACAGCGGAATGACAACAGGTACAGATGACAACTCAAGCAGCTTTCGCAGATTTGTGAGGTTGCCAAAGCTGTCAGGCAGCACTGTGATATGAGGTGCTTTCAAGTGGAAGGGCTCCAGAGCTTAAAGAGCACTATTTTTTCCAGCAGGCTGACGATGCTCTCTGAAAAAATCTAGAAGCATTCAGGTTTAGCTGGATTGGAGATGCTTGCTGGAACAGTTCAGGCTTCTAGATGCTTCTAGTTTTGACAATGGCGGTTTTGAGTCGACTCAAGCGACTGGAAAATACAACTGGAAAAGCCGTGACAGTGGCGGGCAAGCAAACTCTCAATCCTCCAACTGTCCTGCCCAACCACCGTCGATGATCTTCCTGCAAGCATCTCCAGTTTTTTGGACTCATACGCTTCCAGATTCTTTCAGAGAGTGCAATCCATCTGCCAGATAAAATTGGTGCTCTGGAAGCTTTGAAGTCCTTTCCCTAGGAAGCACCTCGCCTCACGGCGCTGGCCGACAGCTTTGGCAACCTCAGCAATCTGCAGAAGCTGACGCTGGAGGACCAGTAAGCAACAGAAAACAAAGACAGAGACAGAAGAACGTACCAGGAAACACTATATAGGGCAGGTCGGGGAAGCGAGACGCATCATCCAGGAGCCACAGGGGCACTCCTGGCATGGCCTGCCCCTCCACCCTCGCCCTCCTCACTCCCAGCGCCTTGGTTGCCACATCGGACGATGTTATGCCGCCCTGATGCATGTGGTTAGAGGGGTGGTGGGGAGGATACTAGGGAGAGGGCGTGAGGACTAGAGGAGGCAAATGATGGGAATAGCAGAAGAGCGTGGTGAATTCGTGTGAAACACCACCTTCGCCAGGATGTATCTGGGGGCACTCTAATACCCCTCCCCTCCCCTCCCACTCTAATATCAGGATGACAGTGTTCGCTTCCATCCCCTACCCTCTTCCCCACCCCATCCCACCCTTCTTCTCCACCCCACTGAGGGTGCCCCACCCACCTTAGCCAGGATATATCTGGGGCGCACGCTGATGCCCCTAACAATGTCCACCACAGCTGCGCTCACTCGCGACCCGATCTCCAGACTGCTGGATGCGTCTGGCAGGAGGGGAGGCAAGGAGAGGAGAGGACAGGAGGCGTGCAGGCAGGTGGTGGCTCAGAGGTGAGAGGGGTCTGAAGGTTTGCGAGCGCACTCACACGCATAGAGGAATATGAGGCGCCCAACACCCCGACCACACCCACCCGAGCCTGTGACCAGCTCCCGTGACGTCATGATGACGGTATCCCTGCCCGCCCTCAGTGCGTCCTCAGCCTCTGCCGCCATGCCCGCTACTGCTGCTTCCCTCCTCTCCCCCTGCCAGCTGTCAGACGCCACATCAGCAGCGCTGACCTGTCCGGTGACGTGGAGGGACATGAGGGGGGGTGGAAGGGCACTAAGGTATGCTGTGAGTCGAGCAGTCTTTGTAACGGGCATGGCCATGTGGTGGTGTGAGTATGTGACCATCGATGTTCGCCGCTTTGACTCGAG